CCACTCACTATTCAGGCCTAATTTGATATTCACCTCTTTTCATGTGCTGTAAAATACACATACTGCTTACTGTATTTTTCACTCCATGCATCTGATGAAGTGGGTTCTAGCCCACGAAAGCTTATGCCCAAATACATTTGTTAGTCTCTAAGGTGCCACAAGGACTCCTCGTTGTTTTTACAGTTCATTGTGTCCCTGTATGTTTCTTAGATATTGAACTAAAGAGCTCTATTACCCGCTGGACTGAATCCCTATCCCTGGGTAGGGTTACAGCACAGAAACTATAAACAATTGCTTACAGTTATTGCATACAAAGGATGATTGTATCCATATAAACACAGTTCATATGGTGCAGTAACTAGCCCATGCATTTTAGGTGTTATAAAATGATATAAAATATATTACTTCTGTCATATATATTCCTTATACTCTGGAGTAATATTGCTTGCTTATGGATCATAATGATAGCATGTAGACTTGTGATAATTAGGATTATATATGACAGAAATAATATATTGAAATATGTAATATATGTGTGTTAGGTGTTAAAATAGTGCACTCTGTTCTTGGCCTGAATTCCCCCCCCCCCCCCCTTCCATAGTGGTATGAACATAGCATCGAGAAAATAAACCAATCATTTGTGGTATCTGATTATGTGAGAAGCATGTAGATAATGTCCATGGTGCAGTATGCACATTGATTACTGGCCAGGTTAGTCTGGCCAGGGTTTGCATGTAGATGAAGGGGTAAACCCTCTCTATAATCCCTGCTTTGTTGACAGCTGCTCTGTTTATTTTGGAACAAGGGCATCAGTTGCTAGCAAGTGTCACAGGAGAGCTTGCTGCATGAATGAACCAGGAAGAATAAGAGCTGCTTCAGAGAGAGAATCCCAGCCGCGCTTTCTCCTCCTGCAGCTCTGAAGTGTGGGAGGGAGACACACATACAGAAAGAGAGAGAGACAAAAATCCCAGCTCTTGGGGAGATGAGAAGCAGAAGCAACTCTGGAGTCCGCTTGGATGGCTATGCCCGACTGGTTCAACAGACCATTTTATGTCACCAGGTGAGTGCAGAGTCAGCGCAGAGAAGAGTGGGACCCTTCCACTCCTTCACCAACCCTATTGGGCCTTTATTTTGAAGGAGTTTTTTCTCTCTTATTAATGTTTTTTTTTAATCTTACTCATTTTTTCAGTCAGCTCTGTGGGATTCCTGATATGAATTCAGTGGACTGGTTAATTGCTTAGTGGACATGACAGTACTGTTTGGGGCAGATCCAAGAGCAGCCCGTGCTTTTGGAGTATGTGTGTGGAGCTCATTATTGTATGGAGTGGAGTATGTTGGTTCAGCATGTTGCAATAGGGAGCAGAGTATGTTTGTACAATCTGTTATTCTAGGAAATAGAGTGTTTGTGGAGAGTTATGCTATGAAGTATTTCTTATAATGTGGTATGGTATGAGGTGGAGTTTATTGTACAAAGTAAGTAGAGTATTAGTTTAGGAAGAGCATAGAGAGAGGTGCACTGAGGCAGTGCTACAGATAAATATCCTGTACTGTGTTCATTCTATAATGTGGATATTGGACATGCAGCATTCATAACCATAGAAAAATATTGTCTCTCTAAAGTAAATGGTGGCTTCTTTTCGTTTTAAGTGGGCATCAAGTAAAATTAGTCACTGTAACTCAACAAGGATACTTAGTAGCTGATTATACAAGACGTGAAAAAGCATGTCCATTGTATGTGGAAACCCAGTGAGTTCTTAACCACCAACAATGATGTTAAAATAACATTTATGTTCAATGGCTTGCCTTCACTCTCAGATATGTGAGCTTGCATCATTGTGTATCTTTTGAAACTGGTGAACGTAGGCATAATGGTGACTTTTCATTTATCTGAAAGTAAGAGTGAATCCGAAATAGAGCTGGTTCAGTTGCCAGCAAACATAATTTGTTTAGTACGAGTCTATTGCAATACACTTCATACCAGAATCTTTGGACTGATTCTCCTCTCAGTTACACTGAAAATCTACAATCACTATGTTAACTTTAGTGGAGTGACTTCAGATTTATATCGTACTGTAACTCAGATCAGACTCTGACCCCTTGTTGTGTGGCTTGGATACATAAATAGTAAAAGAATGACACTGTCAAGGCTGGTAGGCAAAAAATGTGACCTACTAGATATGTCTTCACTCATGGACATGCATAAACACCTACCATAGTGTTCTCCATTTGCTCAGCTCGTCGTTTTCATCCTTAAGAACAGACATAGGGTGCAGAAAAGTTACAGTGTCCTTGAGATGGTGTGGTTCAATTAAAATAGTTCAGCATATAAAGATGAGAGCAAGGAATTTTTTCCATGAGTCAGTTTCCAAATATACTTATTACTAAGCACTGAAAGAGGCTGCAAGGTCAGTGGAGGAGGGTGTTACAGACCCAAACCCTGCTCCCGCTGAAGTCAATAGGAGTTTTGCCATTTCGTATATTTGTGAATTACTGTGCTTGGATAGTATTTGTTATAAGCAAAACAGAAATCTAATAAAAAGGAATGATATATTTAGTGTATACTGGGGTAGATTATTGGTTTTATTCCGATTTATACCAGCTGACCTATAATCTTCAAATCACCCATTACATTTTTTGTGCAAAATATAAGTGAAGAACTCTTTCTTTTCTATGGAACGGTCAATATTAAGAAGAGTTTGATCTTTAAAAAGAAAAGCCAATTTCCCTTTAGACACTGATCATCTGATCAGAGGGAAAATTGTTATCAAAGCAGTGCTTGTACGCATGTGAACAGAGAAGTGCTGTAAAATGGGTGCCATTATTTCTTTACAGGCTTGAAAAGTACACTTTTCATAACAGCAGTACATTTAAAAAGAAAGGGTTGTTCACTTACCTAAGGGGATTCAGTGCTTTCTTTGAGAAACATGATGTTCAGGAATTAGTTTCTAGGATAAAAATCCAGTGCTAAGCATTTAGCATGCTAGGCATTTTGAAAAACAAGTATCGTCGTAGTAGTAGTAGTAGTTGTTGTTGTTGTTGTTTTGTTTTTATTTGCGTTCATATTACGCAAAGACAGATCTCTTTTAAAAGCAAAATTAATTTAGAAAATATGTGTTCTGAACCAGGCCTAAATTCCAAATGCAGGCTGTCATCCTGCCCAGAGGTGCACACAGGGGGACCCCCTGTGTCTGCATGGAGCCACATTGAAGTCAGAGCTCCTTGCAGGACTGGTGCCATAGTGAACATTCTATTTTCTACTAACATATATGACCCTCGCAGTGTATAGACATCTCTGTGATAGGTGCTTTAGAAATGCAGGTGGATAGATTAGATTTAAGTCCTTAATTTGAGTTAATATGATGGAGAAGGTGTAGCTATGATCATATATTAGTTAATGATGAGGAACATCCAGTGGGGAAAATGTTCAATATGTCTCCTCCATGTGCAATATCATTATTCTTCTGACACAGTTATTTTATTTCTATAACAATTTTTATTTAAATATTATTGCACTATATTATGTATACCCTCCATAGCCCAAAGTACAGAAGAATAATGACTCAACTATTTTATTTCACTCATCGATTTAGGTTGGGTTTTTTCGCCTTTTTTGTGTTTTATCCAATGTCAATATCCATTTTATGGACAAATTTTTAAGTTTTTCTTTTTAAAAAAAGTATTACATGGGGTACTTAAGGAGAAAAGAATATGTAGCTAAAATAGAAACTACTTCTGACTATCTTATTATTTTTATCAGCTGACATTTAGTGGTCACAAAAATACATTACATTCAACTTCATACAGTCAAACCCAGCTGGAGTTTAGTGAAGGTCTGACTTTAATATCAGTGCTCTGCTAGATCAAAGCAGAGGTTATATAAGCCAATGTGTTCGCTAAAATATGCTCTGAGTGCAACCCTGTTCTCAGTTATCTCAATTTAATTCGGTAGTAGCTCCAGTGTAGTAAATGAAATTACTCCATTTTTACACCAGTGACAGTGAGATCGGAATCTGATCTTTTTTTTAGTAGATTCTTGTTTCTTGTTTCCAGACAAACAGATTTAATGAAATGCAAATATATTAAATAGAAAGAGACACAGCACACACAATTAAGTAACAATTTAAGGCCTCAGTCTGGTAATCAGATCTCTGCAACAGAGCCTTCTGTCCTTGCAGAACTCCATTAACTTCAGCAAGGTACCTTGGCACATGGATTTGCTCATGCAGATCTCATTGGGAGGCCCCCATCCTACAAACTAAATTAAATTGTATAATCACATGGTGGGCCTAATGTTACAAGGTGCCCTGGCATTCTTTTGATATCAAGGGGAGTTGAGCATAGCCAGTACCTCATAGTTCACACTCAGTATCTTGCAGGGGTGGACTCTTTGTATACTAGCAGGGAGAAGCTGAAAAAAAAATCCTAATTTTTAAGAGTAAGCATTTTATGAAGCAAACTTTTAAAAATATTAGTCAGTTAATGTTTCTTCCTGTGAATTGATGGTACCATAATGCTACAGAATTACCTTTGTTCATGATGTTTCACAAAAGGCCTGATCCAATGTCCATTAAAGTCCAGAGTGGACTTCACTTTTCGATCAAGTCCAGAGTGTCTAGGTTAAGTCCCTCTGATTCTAATGTAGAGGGGGAGAAGGGATTGCCTCTAGACCAGTGCTTCTCAAAGCCGGTCCGCCGCTTGTTCAGGAGGGCTGCGGGACGGGCGGTCAGCTCATCCCTCGGCCCGGGCCACTTCCCGCAGCTCCCATTGGCCTGGAGCGGCAAACTGCAGCCAGTGGGAGCCGCAATTGGCCGAACCTGCGGATGTGGCAGGTAAATAAACTGGCCCGGACCGCCAGGGGCTTTCCCTGAACAAGCGGTGGCCCGACTTTGAGAAGCATTGATCTAGATCTTGTATGTTTTCTTAACATGGCACCTTTTAAAACTTTGAAAGCAGGCAGGTCCCTGGTGGTTGATGGGTCTCCCAGTGTCTTGTGTGAACATTGACATTTTTGGAGGAACAATCTTAGTGCCGTTTAGAATTTTCCATTGCACAACTGGTGCCAGGCCCAGAATGTAGCTGCTAGGGGGTTTGCTGTGCAATCTTTGCAGTGCTAGAATTACAGCTACATAGACTTTCTTTGTACTGCAAGTGAGGGATGAACAAAAAAAGTCTGTGCAAAATAGCTAGAAATATGAGATTTGCCTTTGAGGCTCACCCTTCTCCCTATTCTAATTAACTTAGACTGCAAGTGGCTTCTGCTGAATCATATTTTTTTTCTGTTCTGCTCTTGTTTTTTTCCAATTTGGAAATGTTTTGAGCAGTTAATCTCTGTTTGAGCATTTAAGTGACAGCTTTATGAATGGAATATTCCAAATAGCATCAGAGAGATTATTCAGCACTCATCCAATCTCTATTATTTGAACTATAAACTCTTTGGGACAGAGACCGTCTCCACAACGTAGATGTTTATACAGTCTGTGTGAGTATGCTGTGTGGCACTGATCCCTGATTTAGGCCACTGAATACTACTTTATTCTAATAATAAATGAAAATACTGATTATACCAGTAATGTTTACCTGGCTGCCACCCGTGTCTTCATTCAAATAATTCTTAAAAAGCCTATGAGAAGATAGGTGATGTTTCCTCCCCCACAAAACTACCTCTTCCCAGAAAATAAGGTTATATAAACATTTAACTGAACCAGCATATGCCAATAATGAGTCAGTGTCTGATTCTGTTATTTGTAACCCTTGTCCTTCTGCACACCAGCCTCAACCCCTGTTTGTTGCTCTCACTAGGGCTTGGTTCTGCACCACAGACATCAGTGGTGCAGGGTCAGGCACTAAATACATGATAAGTTCTTTGAGCTGGGGACCTTCTCTTTTTATTTGTTCTCAATATTGCTAGGTCAGTAGGTGAATCGTATGCTCTTGGATGGGATGAGAACCACTCAGCTGTATGTCATAGCCTCTATGCTACTAGCAGTCAAAGGAGATTCTCCTTTACCTCAAGTTTTGGCAGTCTGGTGGGTAGATCAAGGTTGTATGCCACTGTGAATTTTTGAGTGTCCATTGTCTAAGTGCAGGTAAGAGTATGAAGTCTTGTGTGGCCCTGTGTTTCTTACATCATCATTTGGGGGAGGGATACCTCAGTGGTTTGAGCATTGGCCTACTAAACCCAGGGTTGTGAGTTCAATCCTTGAAGGGGCCACTTAGGGATCTGGGGCAAAATCAGTACTTGGTCCTGCTAGTAAAGGCAGAGGGCTGGACTCGATGACCTTTCAAGGTCCCTTCCAGTTCTCGGAGATGAGATAACGCCATTAATTATTATAATTATATGGAAAGTGCTGCTGCAGTTAAATAAGATGACTTTTCAGGTGAATAGTGTGTGCTCTTCTGGTTTTCTTTTCTTTACCATTAGAATCCAGTTACTGGACTGCTTTCGGCCAGCACGGAGGAAAAGGATGCTTGGGTCCGGGACAATGTCTACAGCATTCTGGCTGTGTGGGGTCTGGGAATGGCTTATCGGAAGAATGCAGACCGGGATGAGGATAAGGCAAAAGCCTATGAACTTGAGCAGGTGTGTCTAAATATCACATGTAGTAAATTTATTGTTTATCATCTCACAGCTTTTCTTTCATGTGATGCTGATTATTATTTTATGCTGTATTTATAATGCTCTTGTGGCCAGGATATACAAGGGTTTCCAGACACATAGTTTGGGCTGGTGCTGGCACTTTCCATCTGTTTCTCTTGGGTACTTATCTAGCCCATGTTACAATAGTATCTGAGCAGCTCACAATGTCTAAGTTGTTTGTCCTCACAACACCCCTGTGAGGTAGGGAAGTGCTGTTATCCCCATTGCACAGGTGGGGAACTAAGGCACAGAGAGACTAAGGGTCTCATGGGAAGTCTGTGGTGCAGCAGGAAATTGAACCTTGGTCTCCCAATTCCCAGGCTAGCACCCTAGCCACTGGACCATTCTTTCTCTCTAAACAATTTATAATCTAAGGTCCCAATCCTCCAAACACCCACATGGTTAACTCTAAGCAATCCCATTAAAGTCAGAATCAACACACCTAAGCATTTGCATGATCAGGGTCTAAGAAGGCAAAACATGAGGGTGGCCATGGGGGGAGGAGACAATGTACAAGAAAAGCCATGAGAGTGATAATTGGCACATGTGTTGTTAGTTCCATTGTCTTAAAATTGTAGTATTAATGATTTTATTATTATTATTCATATGGGGAGGGTTGAGGTAAAGGGATGGCAAGAAGAGTGGCTTAATAGGAGCAAGGGGGTGTGGGGTGCAGGGTAGGAAGGGATGGAGATTAGAGGGCTGGCAGAGCAGGACTAGCTATGAAGGGACAGTGAGGGAGAGAAGCAGCATGAGGTTAGGGGAAGAGCCATAAAATTGATTCTTCCCACTTGGAGACCCTGTTCAATTCTCCCACTCCATATAGTTGGGAGGATGGGTTTGTCCAGTGGGCATTTCTGTAGTGTCCTCTTGCAGTTTTGGAGGCAATTGATGAATTTAATGCTTGACTTTAATCACCAACCCATGGTTGCCTTGGAAACCTACTATGGGAGAAATAGTCCAGACTCAATAATGTGTATTGTCTCTTTGTATTCTGAGGCCGTGGCATAACTTCTCAAAATATTCTTGTTTCGGGTACAAAGATGTGCTTAATTACTGGATTTAGGGGAAAATTCTACTGTCACACTTGTCTGGGGTGGCTCACGACTGTGAGTGCCTACCTCAGGGCAGACACCCCAAACTGGTGTTGTATTCTGTAATTAGATTTCACCAAGCCAGTGACAAATGTGAACTCCTGGATCACTGTAACAGTCTTATCATGGAGTCACAGACAGTTCCCTGAGACTCTCCAGCCTATCTTGCCACCCAGACAAACTGGATTTTGTGATAAAATGGATACTTACACCAAAAATCACACCACATTTAAATTGCTTCCCAAGAGACTAGTCACTTACCCCAGATCAATTGGTACTCTAGATCTTGCACCAAAGAAATGCTGGCAGCCAGTTCTATAATAAACTAACTAAAGGTTTATTAACTAAGAAAAGGAAATGAGAGTTATTGAGAGGTTAAAGCAGGTTAAATATATGCACTGGTGAATCACAGTTCATAATTCCAAATGTTGGCAGTGATGTAGTAAACTGCCAGTTTCGCAATTTTGTAATAAACTGCCAGTTTCAGGGTACCCAGATTGTCTCTGGGGATCTCTGCTTTGCATCTGCTTCCCTGTAAGAGTCTAAACAGTCCAGAGATTCAGGATCTTTCCTTGAGTCCATACTTCTAGCGTCTTCTCACAAAAAACAAGCTTACAGTGTCACTACGCATGTGTACTTTTCCTTTGATGACGAAGAGAGAGGAATGCATTTTGAGTCTTTGACCTCCGATCATCACACACATTTGCTTTGAAATTAGCACTTTTCTGTTAAAGGTTTTCATTTGCATCCAACGAGGCATCTTTCTCCTTTGATGGGTTATTTAGTTGCAGGGGTGTATACAATCTTAATGTTTGCTATTACAGCATAATGGGATACAGATAAGTGAAAACAATGCAAGTAACATCCTACTAGTTTTCATGAAGTTTAAACACCAAATACACTCTTATACATTTAACAGTGAGGTGAGAATATCAGATTTTTTTCAAGTGACCACATATTAGTTTCCCCAAAAAGCACATTCAAGGCAAAAATCTAGAAAAGAAAACACACGTAAATATATTTCTTTAAAAGTATTTCAGGATATTCATGTTCACACTCATGGCAGGCCAGTAGTAGAGACCCTGAGCCTTGTCTAATACTGGTAAGTGGACTGGTAACTTTAGACTTTAATTATTCTGTTTTATTCTTACAGAATGTTGTGAAACTGATGCGGGGACTTTTGCAATGTATGATGAGACAGGTAATCTAATAATCCAGAAGTATTTACTCAGTTGCAAGGTCAGATCTGGTGTTTTAACATCAATTTGCGCATGAAAGGGAGAGATTAATTGTGAGAATATGGTATCCCAGATTGAAGGAGTGATTGAAATTTCCAAGACCAGTGGTTCTCTGGAATCCCTTTTTTATTATAAAGAATGCATCCCTTTGGCACCTTCCTTAGCCTCATAGATTTGAAACAAATGGCAATACATGCTTTATTAAAATTTAAGCCACCGCTCATATAAGTGTATTGCATATGAGGAAATACATTTATGCCATGCATATCTGTGGACAAGTGCTTGTTATATTTACAAAGCATTTCATTTCAGAGCAGATATTTCTTTTCTTTTATCTGAGACTTCAATTGATTGATTTGTGTGTGTACATATGTGGGTGTAAGTATTTGAACCTGTGCAATTGCTATGAGCAAAACTCTGCTCTGTTATACTTTTATGACTGGTCACACCTATGACAAATTGCATTTATATCATTTAAATAAATTGCACAGCTGTAACTAAGGCCTCAACTCAGCAAGGCACTTAAGCACATTCTTAAATGCTTTGCTGAATTGGAGCATATAAGAGTAAGATAACAAAAATCATATTATTTCCTATTCTTGGAGCATGTCCGTTCTTGACTGAAAAGCCTCTTGCAAAGTTTTTTTACTTTAAAATCCTGGGTGTTCTTTTTAGATGGATAAAGTAGAGAAGTTCAAATACACACAGAGTACCAAGGACTGCTTGCATGCCAAATATAATTCAGCCACTTGTGCCACAGTAGTAGGAGATGACCAGTGGGGACATCTACAAGTAGATGCAACTTCCCTTTACCTGCTCTTCCTAGCACAGATGACTGCGTCAGGTAAGCAGAAGATGTTTTAGCTGTGATCATTGGTGCAGATTTTTTTGTTAAGTTAAAATGTTGTAACTACCTTCCATCAGAACAACACAAATAAGTAATTGAAGTTTAATAATGTGAAAATCTGCCTTTCTTCTACAAAATGGAGTTTACTAAAAAAATCACCAAACCATATACTTGGAAGAAGCAGCCCTTTGTTATCAGAACTCCATAACTATGTTCTGATTGCCCCCTCTTTCAAATACAAGAGGACAAGATGTGACTACCTATGTGTGTATGTTAGCATTGCTACTGATTGACCAGAGGGTTTTCTCCACTTCTCTATGTACAATGGGAGCACTGTCTCTGTTTTATTATCACAAGATCTTTTAAGTATAAAGAGCAATCTGGGCTGCCTCTTGGGTTTTGTGCATAATACTCTGCATAATGGTTTGAATGGGTTTCCCTGACTCTACTTTTGCTTGTGAACCTCATGTTGCCTTTTTCTTCATGGGGGCACTCACAAATATCAGCACTTTCCTTTAAGTGCATTACCAGAGAGGATTTGCAAAGGAGTATCTTCCACAAATGAGATAGCAGTTGTATCATTTACCTAGCTGTGCAATGAAAGCAGTTATTGCTTAAACATTGTTCCTAATTAAATATTTAAATGCCCTATGGCAAAATGCCAGAAAAAATAAGGCCGTGATTTACAGCAATCAACAGTGAGCCTCAAATCTGGTTATTGAGAGTAGGATTCCCAGCCTGAAATGTCCAAGCCAGTCTGAGTCCTGAAGGTACATGCCGGTAGGAAAGCAGATGAGCTATCACTCTGTATGGAGTTGTTTCAAAAATGAAAACTTGACTCCCATGGCTACCTTCCCTCTAAATCTTACCCCCCCCCCCGGCATGCGTAATATTGTAGAGGTGAAGAGGGGGCTGATACAGTGAGCTGTAACAGAATATCTATTTCCTTTTGGTGCCACACATATGGCTTCTTGATAACTGGCAGGAAAATATCTCATACTCCTGGGATGGAATAAAATATGGTAGATAGAATATGTGAACAGGAAGTACTACATTTAAAAGTTCTTTGCACTTACAGGGATGTAGCATCTCTGTGAAAAGAGATCTGGATCAGTTGAGACTCAGGGGTTTATTAAGAAAACAATCACTTGAAGGGCAGTTTCAGTAAAGCTGCTCATGGAGGTGCAAAGCACATAGCGTACCCTGGATCATAGAAGTCCGTTGTGCCTGTGAAGGGTAGATGGTAGTTCCACTGCTGCCCTGCCGAGAGCTTAGGGTGGGCTCCATTTTGGATCAGTTGTTGGTAGCCTAATCATGTTCATTTAGTAACTCTTTGAATGCCAGCTGTCCTGACCATGGTTCCCTGCTCACTGGCATCATGTTGTTTGAGTGCTTTACAGATGCCACCCACCACTTGGTCCTCTGGTACCTTCTATCCTCAGGGCCCCTTGCAACTGTCTTCCCCTGCAAAAGTGGGTGTCAAACCTTCCAGCACTCACCCGGTGTGTGAATGTGGCCCTGAGAGTTTTGTATTTTGATGAGTCTTTGAAACAAAGAATATGTATTAGTGGCCTTTAAAGTGCTATCTCAACTGCAGCTATTATAGGGATCTTTCCACTGATTTCAGCAGGCATTGGTTGCTAGTGAATAAAATGAAAATTTGGAACTCATTTTCTGTCAAACATTTCAATTTTTGTGTAGGAATGTAATTTTTTTGTTCCCTTTTTAATCAGGATTGCATATTGTATTCACCCTTGATGAAGTTGCCTTTATACAGAATCTTGTTTTTTACATAGAAGCTGCCTATAAAGTCGCTGTAAGTATTTCGTTTATATATAAACAATTTGAGTACTTCCTAGGAACTGACTGAACAGAATTTCTTATTTCTCTGCTGGGAAGGAATATATTCTGACTGAAGGGTGGGGCTGAAGCAGCAAATCTGATTATAAAATTTCATAGCTGATTTATACAGTAATTCAAACAACATTCCCATTGCTTGGAACTTGCTGCTCTGAATAAGCAGGAAAACGAGCCAAAGTGGGGACCTGAAATGATTAAAGTTTAAGGATAGGTTCTTTCAGAAGAACTTCTTCAACCCAAGTTCAGGCATTTAAAAGGTTCATTTACCACATATATAGCCTGAACTTGCTTGAGTTAAGAAAGGCTCTGAAGTCTGGATCTCACTCAGTGCACATGAATGAAATTACCTCATTAGAAAGAATTGCAGCTGTCTGAAATGATATCCAAATTTGCTTTGATAAACCATTTAACCTATCATATTGTTTAAAAGAGAAATATACAAGAACAAAGGTACCCAGACTGACCTTGAAGGAAGTGCAAGTTAATGGGCCAAACTGTGCTCTCCCATACACTCTTGAATGCCTAATGGGTCTGATTTGCCACTCTGGAATAGCCCTTTTCTTCGTGTGTAGCACCACTGAAACCAATGGGGGTCCATGGCCACTGTTCTCTGAAAGTAGAGATTTCTGTATCATATCAAAATTTGAAGTAAGATTTGGTTTTGTTTCTTGGTACTTATTGTCCCAATTTTGTCATTTAAAAAAAAATCATTGTGGGGAAAAAAAGAAAAAAAATTGCCAAGTTGTTTTTAAGGAGGGAGTAGTGATATGAAGGGATTGGGAGAAGGTATATGGGGTGGGAGTTGCCTTCTTTGCTTTGACTTTCCTCCTCTATCAGAAAACTAGTACATGACTAAGGCCCCAATCCTGCTGAGATTTACTTGCATGAGATTTACTTGAAGCATGTAAGAGGTCCCTTGAATTCAAAGTTAAGCATGAGTAAGCCTTTGCAGGATCAGATCCTAACTCCATCAATAGATAGGTCCTTCCAATGGTATTGTTGGGTTGTGTTTTTTTTAAACTCGGCTGTTTTTCCTTCTTTTTGTTTCAGGACTATGGAATATGGGAACGTGGTGATAAAACCAATCAGGGCATCCCTGAACTGAATGCAAGCTCTATAGGCATGGCCAAGGTGAGAATATTTTTACTGGTTTGTTCTTCATATGTAGAATTAGAACGGTGACTCTCTAACATGTTTGTTTGCCTCACTGTTTTGATTCATCTGATCTTGTGGTTGCTAACTGATTACATCAGAATATGTATTTTAGTGGAGATCGCACATAAATCTCAATGTCATTTTAGTCCTTTTGTGCCTTAGTTCTAGTCTCTGAAGCCTGGATATGTCTCTTTCTGGAGGGGGCTACGAATCTTTCAGAGATATAGCTAGATGTACCAGCATAAAGTGCTTGCTCTCTCTTGGTATTAAGTATGCTGCTTCCATGGTGCTTTCAAGTCCGAAGGAAGTTCTGGAAAAGTAACTGAATACTTGGTTAAGGAGTTAAATAAAAACAGTTTGGAGAGGAAATGAATAATAGAGGTATAAGTCAGGCATTGTGAATGCCTCTGTCTCACAGTGCAAGGACAAAGAGACATTCAGTGAAATTGAAAGGCAACAAACTTAAAACTGACAATCCACTTTTTTACACATTGCCTAATTAATCTGTGGAACTCACTGCCACCAAATAACTTGAGGCCAAGAGCCTAGTAGGTTTCCAAAATGGATTATAAGGAGCTCTATAAGTAGAGTTCAAAAAAAGGATTTATATGGATACTGAGACATCTGCAGACACATTAGATAGTAGGAGGGAGAATTCTGCATGCTCTCACTGTAGACCAACCAAATGTTGATGGGAGTTGGATTAAGCTTGCTCCATTATTGTCTTGTGCCTTCCTTTAAAAAATCTGTACTGACCACTGTCAGTACTGGAGAGAGCGCTGTGCAGTATATCCCTGCTGGGAGTGAGATATCTGGCTGATGTTGCACTGCAGGAGGAAAAATGCATGTTTGCTTTTAGCTGAACAATCTTCTGTGTTTGCATGTGTGGGGGAGCAAAGCAACCCGCTGCTAAACAAAAGGAAATTTGGTTTTCTTCGTTCAGTACATTTACTCTCTTTCACTACAAATACAAGAGGTAAGGAAGGGAAATGCAAAGTGGAGGATAACTATTCCCATGGCAGCAGTGCAGCATGGATCATGGTTTCTTGATGGGCTCTGTACGTGCTTGCTCGCCTTTAAGTCTCCCCTGGGTCCAGCTGTAAATTCCCCTACAGGAAATTCTTGTCAGCAAACACTGACCTATTGATCTATACAGCAGACCAGTAGAGAGATGCTATTCATAGTTTCAGAGCTTGGCAATACCACTGCTGATATTAGCTTTGCAGGGTTTTATGTATCCGTGTCTCCAGAAAGAACAAGATAGAAAGGGTTATGTTCTCTACTTGTATGCTGCTTGTGTCAGAAATCAATTTGCACTGTAGTGAATACCTAGGGTGAAAACAGAAAAGAAGACCTAGTCACCTCTGGTGTAACTCCGTTGACGTCAGCTCCAGGAGAGAGCTCTGTGAGAAGTACAGCTCTGCCGGCCTGGCTCCTGAGCTCCAGGCATCAGCCGTCTCTTTGTCCCATCCCCATTGCAGGTCCAAGATCCCCACCCCGGCGGAGTTACAGATTTCACAGCCCCTTTGGTATAGATCCCTCTGTCCCCATCATCAATTTTGGAGATGCTTCTGCAGCTCCCTCAGAGGAGCCCACCTCACTGGAAATATTCCTCCTCTCCCCTGTTCCTTCTTATGACTGTAGCAGCTGAATTAGAAGGATATGATAATCCTCCCTTGGACTGAAATAGCCTCGGTCAGTTGACCTTGAGGCATGCGGTAAAGCCCATATTTTTGAATGGGCACTTCAGGAGCGGTGGGATGTGGGATTCTTTGAGAATTTGAGAAATGGGGAGATTGGCAATATTTTCTTGATTCAGTAGAGGTGGGTTGATTGTTATGCATTGCATTTTTAACTGATGGAAAGTGGGAGGAGTCATCTTACGTTTGCTTAAATCTAAATACATAAATAAGACTCTTTTCTAAAAGAGTGAGGTCAGAAGTTCCCACGTTTTCTTATCAATTGTGTAAGAGCCCAATCCACAAGTCATTGAAGTCAATTGGCATCTTTCCGTTGTCTTGAATGGGCATTGGATCAGGCGGGAAGTGTACAAATCCGGATTGACATGTGTCTGTGTTTCTGAAGGCTGCCCTGGAAGCAATTGATGAACTAGACCTTTTTGGAGCCCATGGGGGGTGCAAGTCTGTGATTCACGTCCTTCCTGATGAAGTTGAACATTGCCAGGTAAAGAGCAGCCTTCAAGGTGTCTTTGCTATAAGGGAGCACAAACGAGCCAGTGACAAGCACCCTGCTTGTAGAAAATGTTGATTAACCGAAACCAGAACTTTAGCATACAATTTCACACAATACACTGTGTATCCTATGTAGAGTAGGTTACCTGCCACCAATGAGTAACTTTGACCATTCCCGTTTAAATAGTTCTCATTCAATAAGTTCCCAGCTGTTTTGAACACTGATTATGGGCTCTTTTTGCATCTGACATAATCCCTTGAATGAGGCTGATTGTTTGACATATTTTGTTCTCTGTATTTTGCTCAGTCTATTCTATACTCCATGTTGCCAAGGGCATCCACGTCAAAGGAGATTGATGCTGGACTCTTGTCCATTATTTCTTACCCAGCTTTTGCAGTGGAAGACGTGAACGTTGTTAATGCAACCAAAAGTGAAATCCTCACCAAACTGCAAGTAAGAGTTCTCTTTTTTTTCTCTTGGTCTGTTTGCTTGCGGGGAGAGGAGGTAATAAATTGAGTTGTCTTCTCCTGCCAGTTAGCTGAAAGATTGCAGGGCACAGTGGGTGTGAGTAGGAGGAAGAAGTAGCTCTTCCCTCCCGAGAAGTAATATAAAATAAAAAAGAACTTCTATTATGCAATGTCAACTTTTTCAGGAATGTTATTTTTTCCCCACAGGGGCGTTATGGCTGCTCTCGCTTCCTTCGAGATGGATATAAAACACCAAGAGAGGTCCTACTTCTGCAGATTTTCAGTAGTCATTTTGAAGATTTTTTTTTAACCCAAATTTATCAAAACGTCATGCCTATTTTGTTTATTTTGTGCTACATAAAGTGATAGCCTGTATCATAGCTAAGATTCTGCATTGTCAGGAAGAGTACACAGTGTTATACAATCCAAAGATCAACACATCCATACTGATAATGAACCCCGGCCAAAGGAGATTAGATGATAGAAAAACAATTATTAACAACAGGAAAACATAATTTGCCATTCTAATATCAAAACCAAACATATTTTTTTATAACTGGTTATGGTTCCTAAGGGGAGATAATAGCACACTCAAAACCACAACCAACAGGGAATAAAGATTAATTCCACATGCACACAGTCATCAAACAGTGGGCAGAGCAAAGGTGATCTTGATAAGATCTAGGTTTCTGGGATTGCATAGGGGTTTGGTTGAGTATGTGTGGGTACATATATGTGAGAAGAAAAGGTGATAAATGTAGGTGTGTGGCTTTATCCTGTATTTCCTTTGGTTTTAGAGGGGTTAGGTGTGACACATGTCTGTTCATATTATGTACAGAATATTAAATGAATATGATTTGATTTTTAGGATCCAAACAGGTTACACTACGATCCTGCTGAGCTCAAACTGTTTGAGAATATAGAATGTGAGTGGCCAGTGTTCTGGACGTACTTCCTAATTGATGGAGTGTTTAATGGGGACAAAATTCAGGTAAGGAAGGAGCAAACTGCTTCAGTTAGGCTGGAATGGAAAAGCAGTATGGCTGTTACTGTGCTTGTTTGGACTGTTCGTTATTTTTCCTTGTTTCTGAGTAAATCCCCCTGGACTACTTTCCCCACTAGATCCCAGTGTTGGCTGTTTTAGGGAAATTCCTTCCATAGTGCCTGACGAGATGGACTGTGCATGGGAGGTGCTGTGGGAAGCCAGAGGAAGGAATCCTCTCCCCCCCGCCATGGGCAGTGAAGCAGCAATGGAGCCATTCTGCGGCTTGCTTACAGTCACAAAAACCCCTGGAGATATTTTTCAGGGGCAATGTCAAGTGGATCTGCATAGCGTAGATTCACCATTCACATCTGATACCCCTTCCCTGTTAGAGTGAGCTCCCAGCAGCCTGACCTTTTTTCCCCAGTGCTGTGCTTGGCATCTGCAAACCCGATCTATTGTGTCTACAAGCCTCTGTGCCTTAGGATTGGCCCCTGTGAAGAGCTTCTCTTCTGCTGATGGAATGAGTAGTTTAATTATCTTTCATTGTTGATTCAAGCACTCCCTCTCCAGGAGTGTCAAGTTGCCAGCCTTTTAATGATCACCATTTCAAGGAGGTGCTACAGGAAATTGTTAAATTATATAGCAACAAGTCACTCAGACCAGATTGTATCAATTCAAGAGTTTTGAAGAAACTCAAGAATTAAGAGGCTGAGGAACTAACACGAGTATGATTAAAATCACATAGTGTACAGGTGGCTGAAAGGGGGCCAAATGTTGTACTCTCATTAAAAAAGGGCACTGGGGTGATGCTGGGAATCAGACCAGCAAGCCTCATTTCAGTACCTTGTACGTAAATGGAATGAAAGAATAGCTAGAGAAAAAATTATGAAACACCTAGTTGGCTATAGTACAATAGAAAAACACCAGCACAGCTTCTTGAGAGGAAATGCAAAATTAACCTGTGGAATTTATTGCTGCAAGATATCACTGAGGCTAAAAGCTTAATAGGATTCAAAGTAGGACTAGACACATTTGAATACCAAGAGAATAGCCACTTACCCTTATGTTTCAGGACGTAAGCCAACCACTAACTTCTTGTGGTCAAGAAGCAACTTCCCCTGCAAGCAGGTTATTGTGTAATTATCCGTTACGGGGTTTCTTGTAGTGTCTTCTGATGTTGTCCGATCTTGGCAGGAAGACTCTAGAGTAATGGATCACTGGCCTTATCCAGCATGGCGATATCTGTGTTACCAGAGCCCTAGTCATTTGAATATCTCTAAAGAAAGCTTTCCCTTGCTTTCAAAGATATTTTTTACTTGTGTTTTTATTTTCTTTTTATAGTCTTTTTATCCCCCAGGAATTGTAGAATTTTAGATGGGTTCTACTCCGATTCAGATTCCAGTTATGAATCTCGCCAAAGGATTCTGAGAAAGTCAAAAGCTGTACAATGTATACTTCTTTTGTTTTACTTATTTTTGAAAGTAAAAGCCAGTCAATAAACCAATGAAAAAGCTCCTTTTTTTTCTCTCTTCCCCACAACTTAATGGGGACACATCATTAATTTAAAATGGGAAGTTCAACAAAACTAGTGAATAAAATCTCAAATCAAATGCATTTTGGATTATATAATCTTGGAAAACCTGATACAGCTGACACTGGAAGATGTCTGAAAGGCAAAATAGATTCCCTGAATCTAGATGAAGAATGGGGGAGAATGAATCAAATGAATGCTTTGGGCACACAGGAGAGATATGGGTCAGAAACAAGTGTCTAACCATTTTGTCATTCAAGCTGCACATTTAAAACAAGTAACCCTGGTTATTCTTTGTACATAAGAGGTCACCGCATGCTTTTTAGAATGACAAATTGTATTGGCCTATTGAAAGGGAATCTAAAAATACAATTTCTTTCTTAGCGGTCCACAAGCTTTTCCATATTGTGAACCATGGTGAACCATATTGGAGGTTTTTAAGGCCCGGCTTGACAAAGCCCTGGCTGGGATGATTTAGCTGGGAATTGGTCCTGCTTTGAGCAGGGGGTTGGACTAGATGACCTCTTGACGTCCCTTCCAACTCTGATATTCTATGATTCTATGATTCATGTTACAGCAAGAGTTACCAGATGGCAACTGTGAGAAAACGTGACAGGGGGTGGGGGGTAATAGGCGCCTATATAAGAAAAAGTCCCATAAAATGGGACTGTCCCTTTAAAAACAGGACATCTGGTCACCCTAGTTACAGCAGAGAAAAGTTTTGAGGACCCCCTGTTCCCATGTAAGCTGTAAAGAAAAGGAGCAAAGTCGTGACTTTCTTGGAGGTGATTTCTCCCCCCTCCCCGGATTGAGAATTTATGCTATCACTGAACTATCCTTATTTTTAAAATAAGGATTTTTTGCTCACCGATCCAGAAACTGAGTCTAGAATATGAATCCAGGTCTTCCGTTTGGCAGCACGTTATAATCTCTTCACTGCTGTACTGTCTTGAGTCAGGCCTAGAATTATTTATAGCGGATTTATTAGCTAGTTCTAAGATTTCAGCATTGTTCTTTTCATGCTGTACAACATTAGCTTCTCTCCTCTCTTTTTAAGGCGATATGAGCTTTCTCTACCCCCCCCCCTTTTTTTTTCTCCGCAGGTTCAAGAGTACAGAGAGGCCCTGGAGGGAATAATTATTAGAGAAAAGAATGGAATTCTTCTGATGCCAGAGTTGTATGCTGTCCCTCCAGACAAGGTATTCTGACAATGCAGCACCTTTTGTAGCTTTCAAAGTGCAGATATCAAAATAAGTATCAGCATGATCATTTCCTGTAGTTAAATATAGGGTTGCAGTATGAGAAATGCCTTTGTCACTTCCTATACTTAACTAAAATGATTGTGCAGTGGCTTTGACTTTTTAAATTAAAAAAGACCTCACAGCTCCCATTGATAAGACTTTGGTAAATTTTTATGTTTCCATATGGCTAGGTGTCTGATATGACAGTTATGAAAGAGGCACAAAAATATGATGGAGTCCATTTTTATCTGAGTGCATGTGAACGTATTAAAGCTAAAGTCAAAACAATTCCAGATTGGAAATTTGTCAAAAGAAAAAAACAAGGACAATTGTTTTGCAACATTGTTGTTTTTAGTTTCTTTTTTTTTCTTTTTTTTGTCCATTGCAGGGGGATAAATGTAACAAATCTGTCTAATAATAATAATAATTAATGGAGATATCCCATCTCCTAGAACTGGAAGGGACCTTGAAAGGTCATCGAGTCCAGCCCCCTGCCTTCACTAGCAGGACCAAGTACTGATTTTGCCCCAGATCCCCAAGTGGCCCCCTTCAAGGTATTTGAACTCACAACCCTGGGTTTAGCAGGCCAATGCTCAAACCACTGAGCTATCCCTCCCTACCTTGAAATGAGAACACATCCCCTGCAAAGAAATAAAGTAACTCTGCCCTGCCTCTTATATTGTGTTTATCATCAGTGTGTTTTTTCAAAACCTGAATGTCCGAGATAAATTCCAGATAAATCAGATTTTTTAACTTTGGAGTTAGGGATCCACCTGATCCATTTCTTGATCAACAAACCCAGCCAGCCTGAGCCCTTTGCCAGTTCGAGCTCCTAACCTATCAAATTCCTTCCTGCTAGGCCAGCCTCTCCCTCCTATTCCAAAACTTCCCAATCCTCATTGACTAAGGACATTAAATCCAGTGCAGACCAGCATATTTAAAGATGAAGTGTTGACATCTCCAGTCTTCTTTACAAATCTGAAGCTAAATAAGAGTATAGATGTATCTCCCTGCCTGCTATGTGTAAGCACAGCACTGAACCTCTCTTGTGGCCTTCAGCTGGAAACAGTGTAAATCTGGTAGGGATTTCAAGAAGTTGGTAGGGTGGGCTTTGCCTAACCTCTTTTGTGTCAGATCACATCTTACAAAGCCTCTCGTATAATAAAATTCTCTAGTATTTCCCCCTCCCTTCTCTTTCTCTCAAGTCACCATTATATTGCTCTGCAAATAAATTAATGGCCTTTTTTTAACAACAGACTTCCCCATTTCTTTCCTTGTGAAGCGTCTTTCCAAACACAGTAATGGTAGGATAGTGTGTACTTCGAGGGTGCATGTGCAGGTTTCATTCCAGGAAGCTAAGGTGGGCCTGCATCAGTAGTATACAAGGGTTACCTGGCAGGGGATCAGAAAGGAGACCCAAAATCGATTGAGCCATTGGGGGGTTGGGGGGAAGCAATAGGAGTGAGAAGAATAAAACATGGAAGTGTAAATGATTATATTATATTTATGTCCAAAAGTCCTGGTCAGTATGGGGGCTCTGCTGGGTTAGGCACTGTTCAAAGGTCGGCGTGCAATCTGAAAGAGCGTGCAATCTAGGAGGTGGAAGCAGGGTGGGAGGGACCAATACATCGTAACTAATGATGGCAAGTTAAAAATCTGAAAGGTGCAGATCCTTAACAGCACAAAGTATTTTGAAACACATGATCTGTGATATCTGTTATAACTAGGTAGGGCTTATCTCTTGCTTATGTTTGTTGGCAGGTGGATGAGGAGTATGAAAATCCTCACTCAGTGGATCGTGTCCCAGGTGGAAAGTTGCCTCATCTGTGGGGCCAGTCTTTATATATCCTCAGTTCCCTATTAGCAGAGGTAATTTATCTGTAAAACCAGCGAGTTAATCTTTCAGTTCATCTTGAGATGCACTGAACTCTGAGTACTGCCCAGTCCAGCCTGCTCAGTCAGTGTCAACTGGTCGCAGTATATTTCATGGCAGAATCCTATCTGTGAGTTGGCAGAAGTGGTGTTTGTCAGTTTCTCTATCCAACTTAAATTAGTTAGAAAGTGTTTGTTCCCTTTGACCTACAGCTGACTTCATTTCAGCCCATCTCTTACCTTACATTTTCATAGAGAGAAGCAAAAAGGTGTCTCTGAAAACCCAAGCATATCGTGTTTTTATATGCTACATGAAATGTCGTCACTGTAAGGAAATTTTCAACTTGTGAAGCAAGAGATTTGTTATCTGGGTTTCTCCTGTGGATACAAAGAGTGTGTCAGTTAAACCATTGTTTAGTCTCCATGTATGCATGTCTCTTGTGAACTACACACATTGTACACGCTTGGTTTTCCTTGGCAGAGAACATTGCAAGGCATTCTGGGCTCAGACTAATGGGCAGATTCCCAAACTGCTGTGAAAGTGGAAAGGGCCAGGCAGCAGGACCAAGCAGCGGACTGGCCACATCTGTTGCTGGGCTCTGCCGCCAATCTTAGAGATATGAGGAAAGTCAAGAGCTTGAGAGGGATCATAGGAAAAAGGGGTTGGTCACAAGGAAGGCTCTAGAGATTACTCTGGAGCGCGTGAGGCAGGAGAGACCCTTCCATAGCTTTACGTAGGCATTTCAAGTGCTTATCTAACTGTACTGAACATCCAGTCTTCTGAGATTCGCCCCGTATTAGTCCTTGACTGAGCCCTATAAAGACTCAGTAAAGGGTTAACTTTCCAGTGTCAAAAAATGACAGAAGCAACCAAATAATGTGCAGGTGCTCTCGCTCTATCATGTGAAAGGTGGGAACACAGATTGACTTCAGTCCGGACAATAAACACCTTTCCTGCAGTTTTTTTTTTTAATTAGAACTAACGTTTTTACTGAAAATACTGCAGAGTAAAATAGGGGACAGAGATGTTTTATGTTACATTTGTAGAAGTTTGACGATTATCATGAGGATCTCCTATAACTGGACTGGATGGTAAAGGCAGCTTACTTGGGTTCTTTCTTTTTCGGTTTTATCCCAGGGGTTTCTAGTTACTGGTGAAATTGATCCCTTACATAGGAGATTTTCAACTGCTTTTAAACCTGATGTTGTGGTGCAAGGTGAGTGATTTCATGTTTGTTACATTTTGGTGGAAAGATGGGCTAAAGGGTGGTTCTACCCTCTCAAGAAAGAAAGGCAGAAGTAAAAATAAATAAAAAAGCTCCGACTAGTGAAGTGAAGGAGGAGGGGCAGGTCACTATGCAGTGCTACACTGCTGGGCATGCTCAATGTTTCTTAATTTGTGTATGGCATGTGGATACCCCGGTGATGATATCTGAGACAGAGAAACTGGGGGTGTGGGGTTTTTTATTGTGCCTGCTTGTTTCATGAGGAGGCGCTTACTGCAATTTATTACTGTTTTTAAAGCTCTTTCATTAGCAGTTTAAGATTGAATTTGCCAGATTCCCAGCCCCGCATCCAATTCCTGGGGAAAAGGCAGGTCTGGGCATGCTCCAGGATGATGACAGGGCAGATATGACAGCGTGCCAGTTGCTGTGACATATGTGAAGCTCTCTGCGCTTCCCCTAAGGAACCAAGTGTGGTGGGAGCAGAAGGAGAGCCCAAGACCATCCTAATGGCTTCCTAATGCGGGAATCCCCAAACCCAGTCACTTATTGAGGTTGTGGATGAACTAGCTAGTACCAGGCAGGCAGGCAGGCTTCTGCTGCTGACAGGCCAGGCTTACAGCCACTACTTAAGTATGTCCAAGAGAGGCAGGGACAGAGACTTTATCCCCTGAGCGTCCCCAGTACCACTGCCAGGAACCTGCTCCTTTCCTCAATGGGAGTAGCAGCCAGAAAGGTGAGATTAGGGGGATGTAGCAGATTCCTGGCAGCAGTGTGAAGCTGATCAAGGGATAAAGGCTCTTCCACTGCCCATCTGTGCAGCCCTTGAGAAGCAGTCAGGAGCCTGGATTGTCAGGAGCAGCCTTCATCCCTCCTTCCTCCCTGCCGCTTGTGACCCTAGCTGCCATCTGTCCAGTTTATCTCTGCAAATACCACAGAGCCTGTGGTTTACAGCTCTAGCTCTCCCCCAGAACTAGCTGTGGGATTGTTGCACAGATCCTGCGTGCACATCCAAACTGGCACCTTAGGGGAGGAGTCTTCTCTTACCAGTGACGGTGTCTCCTTTTGGGACTGTTTCTGTTCCTTTAGAGGAAACTTCATAGTGTTCACTTCCAGTACAGATATTCATGGTTGCAAATTTAAAATTCACTTTTTGTCAGTATTCATGAATGCAATAGTATTAACTAGCAAGTCTGTACTAGATTGTTAGATCCCGACCCAGCAAACTGACCCACATTTGCAAAACCCCACACAGAGCATTCTGCAAGATCAGGGCCTTAGATTGTAAATTCCTTGGGGTGGGGTCTTCCTCTGTATTTGTACAGCACCTATCACAGCAGGGCTCTGATCCTGATAGGGCGCCTGCGTGCTGCTGCTATAGAAATAATAAATTGCGTTCATAGCATACGTATCTCACTGACACAGATACATTGGCTTACTACAGTGTCTTACAGCGACATCTTGTGGGGAGGAGGGAAGCTGAGAAATCTGGGGAAATGAAATGCCAAATGCTGTTCTGCACATTCTTGCACCCCCAGTGGTATAACTGGGGTTGGCAAATCAAGAAAGAATACAACCTTTAGCATTTTTAGACACCCACGTGGTGGGTAAATAGCAATGATGGGTGTTGTCAGAGTAAAGGAGAATGATTCTGGTTAAAATAATTCAGCTATTCTTTTCTGTTGTTCAGTAACTGTCTTGGCAGAATCAAATGAAATTAAGGAAATCTTGAGACACCATGGAATCATTGTTCAGAGCATTACAGACATCTATCCAATCCGAGTGCAGCCAGCACGGATCCTGAGTCACCTTTATGCCAAGCTTGGTAGGTGCTGGAATTTAGAAGTATATGGTGGTGGTTGTAAAACCTAATTTCTTTTTCTTTTCCACTTCCCCTGCCCCCATTTCTTTCTTTTTTATTTATCAGGGGGTAGCCGTGTTAGTCTGGATCCACAAAAACAATAAGGAGTCCAGTGGCACCTTAAAGACTAACAGATTTATTTGGGCATAAGCTTTTGTGGGTAAAAAAAACCCACTTCTTCAGGCACCAAACTCCTCGTTGTTTCTTTTTCTTTGTTTGCTTCCAGAATCCTTTTAACTTTTTATATGTTGCGTGCATGTGGTGGTGAAATATACAGCACCTAAAGTAAAAACTAGTAATGAATATACTAATATGAATTGATGCCTTAGGTAAGGGATCTATTAGAAGAATATGTTCACTTTGTGAGCTGGCGGCCAACGTAGTGGTTTCTATATGCTCTATTCCAATGGAGTTTCACAGACTGTCAGAAGTTGGTTCTCTGCAGGGGCTAATTCTAGACACAGACTGGGTTTTTGGAAAGAGCCTGAAGTTATGCATCTAAATCCCCTTGAACTTCAACCTTGGGGTCCTTTGACACTCCCTTCCAGGGGAGATTGGGGGCTTTGTAAAGCATAATAGATGCACAGAAACAAATATTTCACCTGGTTCAAACCGCTCACAGATTTGCTTGGTATCGTCATGGACGTTATTTTTCAATGTTAAGTCCAGTATGAGAGTGGATCAGGAATGGCAAATCCTCTCCATCACAGGCAGGGAAATTCATAGTGGGCAGTATTCAGTGCCACCCTTTTGATATTCCCATTGGGAATCCGGCTTATAAGTAGTGTGTGAGGAAACCTCAGGTGGTGTTCAGTGACCCAGATAAGCAACCCAAAATTCAGATGCTCCGTTTAAGATGTTGGGCCTTGAGCAGAGATATAAATAAATCTCATAAAGTACACCTCTACCCCGATATAACGCAACCCGATATAACACAAATTCGGACATAACACAGTAAAACAGCGCTCTGGGGGGCGGGGCTGCGTGCTCCGGCGGATCAGCACGTTAGCGTGTCTGGCTCCGACGCGCGTCAGCGTGTCTGGCTCTGACACGCTGTGTGTTAAGGGTGCCTGGCTGAGGGGTTGGATAAGGGGCAGAGGGTCTCGGGGGGCGGTCAGGGGACAGGGAGCAGGGGGGAGCCGCAGCCTGAGGAGGGGAGCTGCAGTGCAGGGGAACGTCACACGGGCTCCAGCTGGCGCCGAGAAGTTGGGGAAGACTGGTCCACGTGGGGAAGTTGCGGATCCAGGGCAGGGAGAGGTGCCCGTCCTAGACGGCGCCGTGCAGGTGCCCCTGTCCTGGCGCTGGAGGGCTTGGCACACAGCGGGCCCAGCTGGCAGGCTGCGCCCCACTCGCAGCAGCGCCGGGCGGGCTCTTCGGGTCCATAGCGCCGCACTACCTGCAGTCAGGGGCTCCGTGCGCCCCAGCAGACAGCTGGCCGCAGCGTCCTCACCGGAGACGGGCTGCGTGGGGCTCTGCAGAGGAGGAGAGACGGGCTGAGTGCAGGCATGCACAGCAGGAGCCGCCCACCGGTGGCTCACCCCCGGCACCGCGTGGGCACGGGGCAGGGACCAGGTGCATGCAGGCACCTCGGACGAGGCTGCCTGCCCTGCTCCCCCTCGCAGGCTCAGCTGCCACTCCAGGCTGGGCGCACTCCGCGGACAGGGCAGCGGCTGCCGGGCCAGTGCCCTACCCCCGCGGGGCTCGCCCCAGCTGATGTGGTCAAGCAAGTGTGAGCGCTTCCGTGTGCCGGCTCCCCAGGTCCTAGCGCCTATCTTGGTGCGGTGCGTGGCTCAGCGTAGGAGTCCTGGGGGTGATTAGGGATGGGGGGGGGGGTTGGATGGGTCAGTTGGGGCGGGAAGTAGGTGGGGGTTATTTGCTGACTATTAATAACGGAGATGCTTGAGGCCAAAGCAAGTTCGATATAACGCGGTTTCACCTATAACGCGGCAAGATTTTTTGGCTCCCAAGGATCGCGTTATATTGGGGTAGAGGTGTATATATTTTACATGAAGAAATCACCCACACTGCTTAGGAGGAAAAAGAGGCAGGGAGGGATAAAATTAATTCTCATCTCTGTCTGCAGAAGGTTGAGTAGGCTAACTTGAAGCAATGTTGTTGATGTTTTAACAATGACTGCTTTGTCAGCAATTGTAGATTATTCTCCCTCTGTGCTGTGATCTACCCCCTGCTCAGTGGAAGGGGAATCATGTACTATTTTGGCATCATCGGCTCCTTCCTGACTTGTAGAGAACTCACTCTGGGGATGGGGACTGCAGGGAAAGGAAGGTCAAGGTCTGTAATGTGTTTAATAATACACGCATCACTCCAACCCCATGATCTTTGGGAAAGCCGAAATGAAAAATGTAATACAGCTGAAAGTCCCCTTTGCTTTCCAGAAACCGCTTTCATGGGAGCCCTTAAACCAGGGGTACATGGGCATTGAGGATCCCCTCTAGTGGAGCCATATTATCTGAGAGCTGCATGTTGAGAGCTCTGTGAAGATGGTTCTGGCCTCCTGGTGATCCCTCCTTCCAACTCCCTTCCCTTCCAAGGATTTGAAGATCTGAGTTCAGAACCTGCTGGTTCATTCTGCAGTGGCGATCCCTCCCATCATGGGGGCGGTTTGGGGAAAGCGTGGGGGTTATGTTTGCCTGCTGCAGAGGCCAAAGACTTTAAAGGTACAAAAGGGACTTCAGCTTGGTCCATTGGCTAGAATGAAGAATAATACCCTCCCTGATGTCACTGCACGTGGTGGGCCAGATAAATGCCTGCAATGAAGGGAAGAGTGGCCATGTGTATCCATCTGCACTCATGGGACCACTATGTCAGAATAGGGATTCATTCCAGCTGGAGGGTGGTGTGGGTTTATAGGGCTGAGCTGGCTCTCAGACGCTAGGTAGCAGTTGTGGGTGGCTTGTGTCACTGCTCCCCACCCTGGTGGTCTTTCTGCTGCTATGCTAGGGGCCTCACATCCAGATGCTTGCACGAGTTGGACTCCTGAAGTGAATCTGGCCCAGTGGATTTAATAACTTTTATTTCCTTCTCAAGAATGTATTTAATCGTCTAGCAGGGAGAGTCCATCTGTTGAAACTGGAAAACTTTGTAGGTGACATAAGGCTTCTGTAGAATTATTGAAGTGGGTGGAGTCCTCCTTCTCTGTGTGGGTAGTGTAATCTGCTGGATACTGTAGACACAGTATCTGTGCCTGAGGCAGAATTTAAGGGCTTAATTCTGCAAAGTGCTGATCACTCGCAACTCTCATGGCTTCAGCGAGACCTTTGCAGGGTCAAGCTCTCATCGAGTAGCTGGGATTTGCTTTTTCCTAAAGATGACAGATGTGCTTTGGTTATATTTGTGTCTGACTCAGCAAAAACAAAAAAGTGCTATGTGCAGTCCTGGGAAGGGAGAGGGCACAGCTGTGAAGGAGAGGGTTCTCTTCTACACTCAATTCAGTGGTTGAATTCAGAGGAGAAGAATTAAAATTGTTATATTAAAGACCGGGATTGCCAGCTACTTGTGATGTTTGATACAGCATGAGGTTTTCTCCATTTTTTTGAAACGTACCTTATTTCATTTGGAGTGCTGCCTGTCGTTCACTGTAGCTGGATTTATTTGACTTCCTGACAAATCAGTGTTTGTTCATGTATACCTTGTGTTGTTTTCCCATACAAATCTATATGGCGTTTTACCCCGTAAACATTTGGCTAGCCAGCATCAGTATGAAATGCCAGCTACAGCTTCATAGCTTTATCAGCTGATTTCTTGTTTGATCCCCGTCTTTGTTATACTCTTTTTAGGGCTTGTGTTCCTTTTTGTTCAGATTTTAAAAGAAATTGAGGAATTTTCTCCTCCATGTGTACATCTGCATAACTTCCTCAGTGGCATGCGACTGATTTGGTTGTTATTTTTTGTAAATACAGAATTTTTAGTGCAAAGAATTGTGATGCAGAAATAATTTGAAAAAGGAAAACATAGTTGAAACCGGGAATGTAAGTGTCACATTTGCATGTGCTATAACTTTCTTCTCTTCTCATGGATCCATCACTTAAAAAAAAAATTCTAGTGCTTCAGATGCTTTACAGCGAAATACTGCAATTGCTATTGAGAGCCAGATTTCAGAGCTCAGTTTGTGTACTCAGTGGGAGCAGCTGGTTGCTGAGTACTTTTGAAAATCTAGTCCTGAGCTCTTATAGGGGTTGATCCAAAGCCCACTGAAGTCCGTCCATGGGAGATTTTCCACTGATTTTAGAAGGCTTTTGAATCGGCTCCTAAAGAATCAGAATTGTGGTGTTATAGGATCAGATCCTATGATAGTGGGTGCGTAGAAAACTTTTAAGATAGGTGCTAACACCATAGCAATTGGAGCTATTCTCTAATTCTGCTTATTGTACATAACAGGTGTTCCTGACTGAAGCTTTGATGTTCACGTTTAACAGAAAATTATGAATAGGATTTAAATACTTGTAGATACTTGGAGAAGAAAAGGAAATATTAGATTAGATCTTTTTCATTTTTACAGGCCGAAACAAGAGCATGAACCTGAGTGGCCGGCCTTACCGACATATTGGTGTGCTTGGAACATCCAAACTGTATGTGATACGGAATCAAATATTTACTTTTACCCCTCAGGTGAGCATGTTAAGCCAATAGGAAAACTTCCTCTTACCTAATGTCTAGTGATTCTCTTTGTGACTCCACTCTAGGTCCAGCAGGACTGATAAAGCAGCTGTACTTTGCTTTGCTCTTTTATAGAAGTTGGATGGCAGCCAAATAGTAATGTTGATACAGCCCTTTCTGTCTCTAAGCAGAGCCCAGCTCCTATAGGCTTATGAAGAGCACACTAGATCAATAGTACAAAATCACTGCCCTCACCACAATTCTGGCTGACTTAAAAAAAAAAAAAGTGAAAGAGAGATAAATAGTTTATCTGAAGAGCTGATCACTTAATAAATCTTTCTACTAATTACTTCAGTTGAAAGTGTAGTTCCACTTTATCATGTCAAGAATTATAAACCTCCAGGAGCATGGAATCTGATCTGTGCATTCTATCATCACCATGGCCAGCAGTGCTACAGAAAGGAAATCTATTCTCTCTGTTTTCTCTTAAAAGTCCTTTTGAATATATGTTTGCAAGAAAAAGCCTGTATTTTAGAATAAATGGTCCTTTTTATTCATTTAATAAAATATTACACACTTCTAAGTACAGCCTTATTATAGATTGTTGTAATTCATCCCTGGAAAATTGTGCTTGCCCCCAGAGCTCATAATTAGACCCCTGCAAGGATATAAAATTTGGATCTGCATCCATCCATGATCTGCAGAAATGGTCCACAGATAATCACATCTGTGGATATAAAGCCGATAACCGCATATTTGCTGGGCTCTCCTCATAATTTCTTTTTCATGGACAAATGAAATATTTCTTTCATTATCACCAGTCTGTATGGTATAGGGCAGGAAAGTAGATTTTATACTTGGGCTAGTAAATTTTCATTATAGTACCATGCAAGGCAAGGTTAATTAGAGCTGTTTCCTTTTCAGCCTAGCAATGTCTATAGGGCTTTTATACATGACTTAAGGAATGAAAATGAAAAAAAACTGAAAGAATACAAGTATCAGGGGGTAAAACTGAAAGAATACAAGCACTGGTAAAGACTTAACTTACATGTTTTCTGCTCCCCAGTTTACTGATCATCACCACTTCTACCTGGCTCTAGACAATCGGATGATTGTGGAGATGCTCAGAACAGAGCTGGCTTACCTCACCTCTTGCTGGAGGATGACTGGAAGACCAACCCTCGCTTTTCCCATCACCCACACCATGCTCAGTAAATTTGATTTTATCTCTGTGACTATCCCAGGCATAAATGATTATTGTGAAGGAGTAGGAGGGTGAATTTGGGAACAAGCAGATTGCATGTCTTTCATTAGTTTCTCTGCATTTTAAACATTAAGAATACGTTTGACTTCCTCTGGCTTCTGCCATATTTGAATGGCAACATGATGATTTATGAGGAATTATAAGGGTTTTTTACCCCTCCTCTCTATCCTTGCATCTCCCCACTGTACCCATCCTGTTTCTGTCTAAGAAACACTTGATATAAATTCTATTTGAAACTTGTTATCAATGCTTTTGAATAAGTTAGAGTTGTGTGCTGCCTTTATAGCACTCTTGGCCTCCGTCTTGAACCTATCCCTAGTTTGCGTTGAAGAGGACAGCTAGTTCATCTACTTGCAGGCCATATTTAAAAATGTTCCTAAACACTAAAACTAGTCCCCAGTTCAGCTAAGGACTCAATCACACACAGCTGTGTAAACTCAATTGGGATCTTAATCAGTGACTCAATATCCATTTTAAAATCAAAACTATTTTGGTTACTTACAAGTAAACTGATCATGTTAAAATGGTCAAGTGATTTAAAAATATTAAATAGACATTTGTTCCCAAACTAAATACAATTTTCATGTTTCTTTCTAGTCGATGATGGCTCTGACCTTGATCCAGCAGTGCTTGCAACCATAAGAAAATTAGACGATGGGTATTTTGGAGGGGCAAGGTAATGTCACTATCCAAAATCAATTATTCCACTGTTTCTTTGAATTAAGTCCCATTTAAGTCCCCCTGTCTTGAAGATCTGAGTGGTTCATAGGCCTTGTGCTAGCCCTCTCCATAGGGGTGAATTTCAATCTGAATTGTTACACGGAAATTAGTCACTAGTTGGATCTACAAATAACAGCAATGTAAAGTTCTTAGCAGAACCAGGTCTACAGATATAACATCAATCGTTTTTATTAACAGATTGTTCTTTTGAGATTTCCAAGGCTTGAAATTAAATCTTAATTAAGCATCAATATTGGATGTTGGGGATTTGTGGGTTTTCAGAAACATGGTATAAAAAACAGTGATCTTCATTAAAATATGTATCAAATTTTTGAAATTAAAGGTGCATTATATATGTGTATGTATGCACCTTTACCATTAGGTTATAAATAAAAGTAATGCTTATTTGTTTATTATTTCCAAACTAGTTTCCCACTATTGGCATCTCTTGGAGCCTTAAATCAGCTTTACATCCTACCTGTGGCTTTTAATTTTTGTCAAAGGAGGCTGAACCCATGGTCTCAGTGGTGCTAAACCTTTTTCCATTAAACAAGTAGCATTCTGTGGGAATTCATTCCTGCTCCGGAAAGATAAAATTCTATCTCTTACTATATGTATGTACAGCTTCTTGCACAATGGGGCTGTGACCTTGATTTGGGCCTCTAAGCACTACGATAATACAAATAAATAATAATAGGTACAACAGTATCCACCAGATCTGTGATTATTTACTGGACACGTTTATTGTTTTGTTTCTTTGCTGGTACCAATTATTGCCTAATTACCAAATGTGGATGTGACAGTGGGCCTGGGTGGATTTTGAAGGGGTTTTCAGGGTTGTCCAATGAAGCACAATCCAATATAAAAATGGAAAGATGTTAATTCTTTCTTGCATGTTTTCCTGTTCGCAGGGTAAAGCTAGGCAAACTGTCAGATTTTCTTTCCACCTCATTCTATACGCATCTGAGCTTCCTGGATCCAGACTGTGACGGAAAACTGTTCGATGATTCTAATGATGGCTGTGATAGTCCTGAAAGTGGATATGAATTAGAAATGTATCCAGATGATTTATTTGACAAAGGTAACAATCTTTAACTTGGAAGTATTGTGTGTCCTGTTGTTATAATTAAATCCTAAGTTTACTATAATACCTAATTTAGAGGGGAGAAAAAAGGTCTTTATTTTCACTGTTTATGTGCATTTGACAGTTGATGGTCAGTTGCTGTGTGTCTCAGGCACTAGTAGGGTGACAATACTCATGTATTTCTTTGGGAGGGGAGCTCATGTGCACGTTCTTCCCCAGCCCTCATAAGAGGGTGTTTACCTGTAATAGCAGCAGCAAAACTGACAGTGAAGTTAGGTGTGTGCATGATCATGTGTGGTAGTGTTGCCCTATGGCCCAGCCAAAAGACCCCTCTAAACATCAGCTGGAGAACCACCTTCCCTGCTATTTTTCTTTTTTTATTTATTTTAAAGTGGAAAAATCGAGGAAATACTATTTCAAAGAGAAACCTATTAGAAACGTGATTTTTTTTTCAAGTTGTTCAATTAAAAAATATCAAGTTGACCGTGTTCCTTCACTATGTTGTCTCTGGTCTCTGTCCTTTTTTGCCTTTCTGTTATTTTTCAGTGGAAAATAGATTCTGTGCCTCTAAAAGGAAGCACATGTAAATATTTCCAATCACTTGTTTTAATAAGCCTTTTCTATCTGTCTCTCTCTCTCTCTCTCTCTCTCTCTCCAGAAAGCCAAGATGAGCTGGACCAGTATATAAACGATATGCTGCAAAGCACAGTGCATAAGTCCTACCTGCCTCCAACTTCAAAGGAAGCTAATCAGCCTCATATGTTCAGTGCTGTTCACTCCATGCGAGAGATACTGTCAATAATGGCCAAGGCAAAGGGTTTGGATGTTCCATGTATGTCTTCTCTGTTTTTTTAATTCTTACTGGATGATAAATGTGATAAATGTAAATAACAGATTTTGACAATTGGTGACACAAGTAAATTGCAGTTGCTAGAAAGTAGCAAGGTACTGTGTTACTCTGTTTTCAATATGATTGCTTCATTATTCCCATAGTCCTATGTCATTTCATGGTAACTGTGCAATTAACATGCCACAGAACTTAAACATTTAATCTAAATGGACAATATTAAATCAGTTGCAACTAGCCCAATTTATTTTGTACTCATATTTGCAGGTGCTGTTTTTGAGTGGAACCTACAATAAAAAAAGACAGATAAAGACAATGGAAATGGGATCCCACAATGTGATTGGATGTATTGGGGTTTTTTACATTTGTGTTGTTTTAAAATGGATTGAAGACTTTTGTTTTTTAGTAAGGACATTGGGAAATGAAACATCTTTAACACCAGAAAATGCCAGTCGATGTACATAAACTCCAGAATTACAAGAAACAAATAGAAAAAAGGGCTGCATTATAAACAATAATGGGTAGATTGAAGGGCTATTAGATAATTTACCAGCTAAACCCATCTGTAAATAGACATGTAATGTATATGGAAATCCAGTGTCCATTGAAGTTAATGGAAAGACTCCACTGGACCTTGGATCAGGCCCTATATAAATAATAGTATTGTACAAACCTGTTATCCTTATCCCCTGTCCTTCACAAATAGCCTGTCCTGAGACTATAATAAAATCAATGTGAAATTAACCAGGTGTTTGCCATTCGTCTTCACCTGTCTTGTCATTTTAGGTCCCAGTCAAGTAAAGCACATCCTTAACTTAAGCACATGAGCTGTGCTACTTGCCTTAGTTGGACTATTCTTGTTCTTAAAGTTTATCACACTCTTAAGTGTTGTGCTAGATTGCATCATTCGACTGTAAGATCTTGGGTGCATAGACTGTCTTTTACTGGGTGTTGGTAAAGAATCTAGCACAATGGGGCACTGACTCTGCTTGAGCCTTTGGGCGCTACCATGTGATTAAATCACATTGGATCAGTCTCTATTTAATGAGAAAAGATAAAAACCTGAGTTGAAACTTGGTGTGTAAGTTACGTGTACCATGTCCCAGACAGCATGGCTCTTGCATTCTGATTGCTAGAGGTGTTTCTAACATTTTCACTCAGTATTATGCTTTTACTAGATGTTGCATTTCCTTTACATGTTGATTGTCTTGCTTTTCAGGCGCTTCGATGACTCTTCCAACTAAAGTTTTGAACACTCACCGGAAATCTCTGAATCTCGTTGATTCCCCACATCCTCTTGAAGTGCAGGTGAGCTAGTGGAATGATTATACAACAAGTTCTGGAAGATTGTATTTGGAATCAACTTTTGGCCATTAAAGGGGTTTTTGTTTGGAAATTATAGTTAATTGTTTGTTATTGAATGAAACACTTCCTTTTACATTAGCAAAACATAGTAAAATAACTTGTACTTATCTTTTAGAGGCAAATCCTGCCCCACCCTCTTCATAGCCATATAGGGATGATACGCCGCAAGACCAGAGCAATGGAGGGACAGCATATTGGGAACTTAGTGTGATATGCACTCCCCATCCACCATTGAGCTGTTCTCCAAGAAGTTCAATTCACAGCAGTGTGTGGGGAGGGGGATTTGTGAAAGGACAGGGCCTGGCTGGTGGCTATGTGGCTTTACCAACCAAACCCCACCAGGATGGAGATATAGCTCCAACAGAGGCTACTGCAGTTATAAGAGTGCACTGTCAGCTGCAAAATGTTTCATATCCTGGAAGGATGGGATTCCACCCCTTGCAGGATTCCTCTCTTCAAAGGCCAATATTTGCTTATGCATGTGGAAAAAGGATATGGTCCTGAGTACATTAGTCATGCAACACCCGACAGTTTATTAAACAGAATCACTTCCATCTAACCACAATTTTCCCTCAACTAATTTGCTGCCAATTCATTGTATACGTTGTTTAGAAAATTGCTAATGGCAATATCTTCACTTGCAAAGCACCATTTAGAAGTACAGGTGAAGAAACCAATAGAACTTGTTGGGAAATCTTCTTTTACTTGATTTCAACTAAATTTGTTAGTTTAAAAAAATTATTAGATCAGTGCCCATGCACATCTGATTTATAAAGTTAATAACACATGACAGGAGAGAGATGAGAATAGTTTGTTTCCTGCTGTTACAAAATTTCTAGTTTCTTTGGCCAAAAATCTTTCTCGTATTATAATATCTCTGCTGACTCACTGGACCAAAAGTATTTGTGACTGTATTGGGAATGTTCCATACTAGCTGTTATATTTTCTGCGATTAATCACCATCTCTACTGTAGTTTGATGTAAACTGCATGGTGTATCTAAATTTCAAATAAGGAATTGCATTACTGTGCATTATTATGTCTTCTCCAGTGAGTAGCCAGAGCTAATGAGTTAGTGTTCCATCTACTTACTCTTTCAAACTTTTGTTGGTGGGATTTTTTTTTAAATCTCTTCTGTCTTTGATGATCAGGATCCTGAAGCTGTTTTGCACTTACCCAAAGATGATCATGGTGATTTGGATTGTGAGAAGTTAGTTGAACAGCTGAAGGAGTGCCCAACTCTACATGATCAAGCAGATATATTATACGTCTTGTATATAATAAAGTAAGTTATCAAGGGTTTTCTGAATTGTCTCTTCAGCTTGTCTGGAAGTTCCATCACAGGTTCCCCAAACAAAGCGTAGATATTGTAAACATTTCAGTCTACTTTAATAGTTTGTTTTTTATGGGGATATTTACAGGTACCTTAAGTATACTAATGCATATATGTACAGATTTTAGGTGAGACAGGTAAGAACACAAGGACTTGATGAGGAATTGTTTAACATAAAAAATGCACTGGCACTCGAGTCCTGGAACAAAGCTCACTGAAATCAAATACGTAAGTCTTCTATATTCGCAAAATACAGTACATGATACAATATTATTGTACACCAATAAGTTCACAAGAAGTTGGGGTAGAATTTTTATACACAGGTAGGTAGGCACGTGATCATTTAGTGCAAAATTGTTTCGTTGTGTTATTTTTCAGTATATAAAAGAGTACCGCTTGTCTGGATGGAGTGCAAATGTAGTTTTAATGAATTTTTCTTTGTTTCTTGCATGTTAAAGTGACCCAATGGCTAAAATCCAACAATCCTCAAAACACTCTTGGGAATGTCTAATTGGAGCTGCTAAACATAGTAAAATAGCCCAGTAACTAAACAGGATTGATGAGAACAGAACACAAATTTAATCCAACAGCAGTTTTGTAAGAGTGTATTTACTAATACATACTAATTTGGTTTTTTTTATGTTGAAGAAACACTACAGGATATTGGCAGAGAGTTAGCTTAAGGGTGGGGGACAATGGTTGGTTTTCTTAATAGCACACATGATCTTTTGTATACTTCTGTGTTTTGCTTCCCACAGCAGGGCCTTTCTTGGCTCTGGGATCTTTCTCATTTTTCTCCCTTGCCCTTTATATCAACCCACCACATTTCCACGGCGTTGGGCCAATATCACAGCAACATCATCTTTCCAAAGGCAAGCCCCCTTTGATGCACTGCTTCCCACAAAAATTAGCTGGGGGGGCACTGTGGTAATATTATGAAGCATAATCAACAGGGAGCCAAGTTCTTCACCATCATGAACTCTTGGAGGGAGTTAAGAACACAGGAGATAAACTTTTTGTTCATCTGAACTTCTTCTTCATGCCCCTTCCAGAAGTTTAGAAATATGAAAGATGTAGTTTCCCAAGAAGAATGTCACTATTTAATTTGTATAATCTCCAGCAGTTTTCTACAGAGTGTTTGGATTCCTATGACCTACTGCTAGAGTGCAGAATTCTCAAACCCCAAACACAGTTGCAAAAATAAACTCACTACCTCTTTCAACATCTTCACCATGATGAACAGCAGCAGCATTACCACCTTCTTTTGATGCCCAGAAGATGTCAAATCTAATGGGGTATAGTATGAAAGTTTGATTAACAACTTGAGAAAAGGCAACATGAAAAAAATCTATGAGAAACCCTTGACACATTGAAGAAACTAATTCAATCTTCAGCACTGTTGGTGAAAGCTATTGTTATTTGGCTTTGTCCTGCAAGGTGCTGAGCACCTTGTTCCTGATCCAACAAAGTATCTGAATAAACCCTTAACTTCAAGCATGAGAGCCGCTCTGTTGACTTCAGCGAGACTACTCACATGCTTAACTTTAAGCAAGAATGTAAGTGTGGGATTTCCAAAGAGATTTATGTGCCCAAATCCTATTGACTTCCAATAGATGCCTAATTGCCCTCTGTGCTTGTAAATTCCTTCCCAAGTGATCTGTTGGATTAGGGCCAGACTGCTTGGCACCTTGCAGGATCATACGGAGGTTCAGTTTCCTGCTTTCACCATCTGTCATGTCTCTGCATGGATTGTCTTTAGAAATCTGCGTTCTTTGCTCCTGGGCACCAAAGTTGTCATTTCTGCTTTTTCTTCCGGCAGAGGCCCAGACTGGGATACAGAGCTGAATGGCCAGTATGGAGTCACCATTCATTGTCTGCTCAATGAGCTCTACAGCAAGGCAGGCCAGAACCAAGAGTGGGGGTTAATTCGTTACATCTCTGGCATACTCAAAAAGAGAGTGGAAGTTCTGGCTGAGGTACAACAAACACAAATGTTGCCAATTTCTTCAGTTTCCCTCCTGTGTGCCCCAGAAACAGATATTCTCAAATAGTTTTGTCTATTAACACTCAAAACACAAATTACAATGTGGCCTATGTTTACCCCATTCTGGTTTTACCTTCCATCAAGTGTGTTAAAGCAAAGAGAATGCTGTAGTATATTTTAGAGCAGCATTGAAGGCTTAGTAACATGAAACCTTACAATAAAACTCTGCCTTTGAACTTCTCTGAGAAAGGTAAAATCTGAGTGAGGTTGCCTGGTTATTTGGAGACATGAGGGTTGTAGATTAGTGAAGTGAGACTAGAAAGGTTCTGCAGTACTGAAGAAGGTTAGATGAAGATTTTTTTAAAAAATAAAAAGGTGTCTTGAATAGAATAATTATTTATTTGTGTTACCGTAGTGCCTTGGAGCCCCAGTCATAGAATTTAAGGCCAGAAGGGACCACCAGAAGTCTGACCTCCTGTACCTCACAGGCCATCAGCACCCATGCACTAAACCCAACAATCAAAATTAGACCAAAGTATTACAGCCCACAGGAGACTAGACTATGTGCCAAAGGCAGAGAATAGGAGAGAGCAAGGTGCACCAGTGCCCAAGACCCCTGTAATGGCAGGGAAATCATAGGCCGGTACAAAAGGATGGTCCCTTTCCCAAAGAGTTTACAGTCTAAAGTCTAAGTATATTAAAATATACAGGAATGACAAAACATCTGGAACTATTTAAGTAAAATGGCAGAAGTCCGTTGTCTACACCTTGGGCTTGTCTGCATGTACAGCACTGCTGTAGCGCTTTAGTAAAGAAGCTACTACGCTGATGGGAGAGCATCTTCCTGCCGGCATAGTTAATCCACCTCCGTGAGAGGCAGTAGCTATGTCTACACCGGGGGTTAGGTCGATATAACTGCGTTGCTCAGGGTGTAGATTTTTCACACCCCTGAGCGACATAGTTATACTGATATAAGTTTGTAATGTAATGTAAACCTGGCCATTGATTTCATCCTGATCATTAAAAATTATTTCCTTTCGGCTGTCATAAATAAGTCTCCAATTGCCGTGCTTATACGTAGTTACAGTAAGTTCCTGAGATTTGCATATTGCTATCATTCCTAGACATTTTTCGGCTTGCTTTTCATCCTGTGCAACGCTATTGCAGCGTTTTGACCATCACACACACAAAGGCTACAGTGAGCAATTTGTTGTAACTGTACTGCACCATTTCCCTAAGTGTGAAGCATGTTTTTTTCCTGTCTTCCTAGAGGGGCCACGAAGGGCTAGCTGGGCATGGGGCATTGAAAAATTTATAAATTAGGATGTTAGGACTCTGACAATGGAGTGCAGGGGAGGATGAGGGTATGATTAGTTCTCAGGGGGGTTGGGAAACATTGTTCTGCTCTCAATGGGCTTTGATTCAGGGGCTTATAGCTGTTAAACTAAACACCAGTCCTACCTTTGCACTAAGACCAACATAAAGAAGGTAACACACAGCAGGACTGGGGCGGGAGGGCAGTGCCTATTTGGAAATGAATTCAAGTGTCTAAACTGACTATAGGACAGAATATTACATACAGAGAATCTTTCTTTTTTTGAAGGGATACAATTGTTCAGAGTCTGTCTGGCTGTAATACTACATACATTCTCTCTCTCACACCCACACACACCAATGAAGTTTTCTTGTAACTTTATCTATTTTATCTTGTAAATAACAAAGTCATAATAATATAGGAAGCGTTAGAATACTCCATAGGCCAGAGCTAGCACCTCTGAAGGTGAAATTGTCATATCTCCATTGGCTTCAGTGGACCTATGACAATCTACATTAATGTACATTTAATCTACAATAGCTGAGGTTCTGCCTCTGAACTGTACATTTAGTAGCAGATGCAAATACACTGAGGAATTACTGAAGAAATGCTTTTTTTCTAGAATTAAAAAAAAATATTGTTGCCATATAACTTAACAGAGTGGGCTCTCTTGCTTTCTGTATTGTACTGTAATAGGCATGCACAGACCTTCTGTCACACCACAAGCAACTTACAGTGGGTCTGCCACCTGAGCCGCGTGAAAAAACTATTACCGCGTAAGTGTTAGCTCTGTCTCAGTCTGGATGTCTTGTATTTCAGAGTTCCTACTGCCGATACAGTGTTTCTGTAACAGGATGCTGGCCAGGAGAGCCTGAGCCAGCCCCCTGTTAGCCCAGATCCAATTAAGAAGCATTAATTGGAGCTGGCTGAGTATGCCATGCCTAATTGATAGAAGGGAAGCACCTGTGGGCTTTATTCGCCAGCAGGGCTCTATGGGGCTGGCAGGAAGGAAGCGAAGGGGGGAGAAAGGAAAGGGAGGAGCCAAAGGCTGTGCGTCCCTGCATGCTGGAGAAGCGAGCTGTCCCCCAGGTTGCTAGTTTGGAGTGGTCTGTGAATAAAAGGCGGTGGGAGCTGACACTGTAAATAAAAGGCACTGGTGATTGCACCCAGAAGAGGTCTCTGGCTGATTTGTGGGCGCAGGGGTCCCATAGTGCGAGGGCAAACAGGAGGCCCTTGTTACAGTTTCCAAATTATTAACTGTTATTTTCAGAAGGAATCACGGGTCTGTAAGGTCTATAAAGCAAAGTTGTTTTGGTGCATTTTAAGTTAGACACTTCAAATTAAAACCTCTAAATCCAAACAGTTGACACATGTAGAAAATAATAAGCATCATAAGCACTCATAACTGTCTGGTTCACTTTCCTTAGCCCTCTGCCACCTGAAGAGTTGTCAAAGCTTATTTATGAAGCCAGTGGGCAAGACATCAGTATTGCAGTCCTTACCCAGGTATAAAACACGTGGAAGGAGTGGAGGTTTTTCATGCTGTACCTTCTGTTTCTTGTGTTGTCTGGTGCTGGCCAGAGTTATGATGAATGCCCCTGACTAGATATCTTTTGTTCATTTGCTCATGCCAGGAGATAGTGGTGTATTTGGCTATGTACGTCAGGTCACAGCCCAGCCTTTTTGCAGAGATGCTCAGACTCCGCATTGGACTAATAATTCAGGTGATGGCTACTGAGCTGCTTCGCAGTTTGAACTGTTCAGGTAAGTCCAATTGTACTGTAATACTGTAGTAAACAAATCTCCCTCCTCTCCCCACCCCCAATGATCAACATTTCAGTGACATAGGACAAGATAAATAATTTGCTTATTTTTAACATAGCCCTTTTCTTAAAATATCTCTATCAAAATTCTCCCTTCAATAAACACCGTAAAGAGACATTCTGAGGGGGAGAGGGGGTTTAAAACATTCTTGGGGGGGGGGGGGGGGCTTTAAAAATCCTAATACAATAATTCTATTTTTAAACAGACTCCCAATTTTGTGTGTGTGGTTTTTAGCTTTTATTTTCCCAGGACAGCTCAGCTTAAACACCGTCTGTTTTTTAATTAAATCCTTTATCCAACACACACAGTTACAAATTTTGAAAATAATCTGCATTCCTAGCATCCTTTTGACATAAAGAAATACCCACACTCCTTTTAAAAAGTGTCCTAGCTATTTAGACGTGTACATTGTCCTGCAGTACGGACTATGGGGGTGTGAATTGCAACGCACACTAGTGTGCTATGCTGTAACTCCCCCATGTAGATGGTGTGGGCACAAACTAAAAAGTTCCTAGTGTGTGTTAACTTAATCCTGTTTAATGAGGGCTATGTTAACATGAACTAGATATGTTTTAGTTCATGCCTGCAGTGTCCACATGGGGGGCCGGGGAGTTACAGCACAGTACACTAGTGTGCGCTGCAGTTCACACACCCCGAAGTCCAAACTGCTGGGCTGTGTAGTCAAGCCCTTAGGCTGCCCTGACTAAGTCGCACTGAGGCCTGGTCTACAACTAAAACTTAAAAAGAACAGGAGTACTTGTGGCACCTTAGAGACTAACAAATTTATTTGAGCATAAGCTTTCGTGGGCTACAGCCCACTTCTTCGGATGCATGGAATGGAACACACAGCAAGAAGATATTTATACATACAGAGAACATGAAAAGGTGGGAGTAGCCATACCAACTGTAAGAGGCCAATCAACTGAGATGAGCTATCATCAGCAGGAGAGAGAAAAAAAACAACCTTTTGAAGTGATAATCGAGATGACCCATAGAAGGTGTGAGGATATTTTAACATGGGGAAATAGATTCAATTAGTGTAATGACCCAACCATTCCCAGTCTCTGTTCAAACCTAAGTTAATTGTATCTAATTTGCATATTAATTCAAGTTCAACAGTCTCTTTGGAGTCTGTTTTTGAAGTTTTTTGTTGTAAAATTGCCACCTTCAAGTCTGTCACTGAGTGGTTAGAGAGGTTGGTGTTCTCCCACTGGTTTTTGAATGTTATGATTCCTGATGTCAGATTTGTGTCCATTTATTCTTTTGCGTAGAGATTGTCCGGTTTGGCCAATGTACATGGCAGAGGGGCATTGCTGGCACATGGTGGCATATATCACTTTGGTAGATGTGCAGGTGAACGAGCCTCTGACAGTGTGGCTGATGTGATTAGGTCCTATGATGGTGTCACTTGCATAGATATGTGGACAGAATTGGCATCGGGCTTTGTTGCAAGGATAGGTTCCTGGGTTAGTGTTTGTTGTATGGTGTGCGGTTGCTGGTGAGTATTTGCTTCAGATTGGGGGGGGGCTGTCTGTAAGCGAGGACTGGTCTGTCTCCCAAGATCTGTGAGAGTGAGGGAACATCTTTCAGGATAGGTTGTAGATCTTTGATGATGCGCTGGAGAGGATTTAGGTGGGCGCTGAAGGTGACGGCTAGTGGCGTTCTGTTGTTTTCTTTGTTGGGCCTGTCCTGTAGTAGGTGACTTCTGGGTACTCTTCTGGCTCTGTCAATCTGTTTTTTCACTTCAGCAGGTGGGTATTGTATTTTAAGAATGCTTGATAGCGATCTTGTAGGTGTTTGTCTCTGTCTGAGGGATTGGAGCAAAGGTGGTTGTATCTTAGAGCTTGGCTGTAGACAATGGATCGTGTGGTGTGTCCTGTATGGAAGCTGGAGGCATGCAGGTAAGTGTAGCGGTCAGTAGGTTTCCGGTATAGGGTGGTGTTTATGTGACCATCACTTATTAGCACTTATTAGTGACACCATCATAGGACCTAATCACATCAGCCACTCCATCAGGGGTTCGTTCACCTGCACATCTACCAACATGATATATGCCATCATGTGCCAGAAACGTCCCTCTGCCATATACATTGGCCAAACCGGACAGTCTCTATGCAAAAGAATGAATGAACACAAATCTGACATCAGGAATCATAACATTCAAAAACCAGTGGGAGAACACTTCAACCTCTCTAACCACTCAGTGACAGACTTGAAGGTGGCAATTTTACAACAAAAAAACTTCAAAAACAGACTCCAAAGAGAGACTGCTGAACTTGAATTAATATCAAATTAGATACAATTAACTTAGGTTTGAACAGAGACTGGGAATGGTTGGGTCATTACACTAATTGAATCTATTTCCCCATGTTAAAATATCCTCACACCTTCTATGGGTCATCTCGATTATCACTTCAAAGGTTGCTTTTTTCTCTCTCTCCTGCTGATGATAGCTCATCTCAATTGATTGGCCTCTTACAGTTGGTATGGCTACTTCCAGCTTTTCATGTTCTCTGTATGTATAAATATCTTCTTTCTGTATGTTCCATTCTATGCATCCGATGAAGTGGGCTGTAGCCCACGAAAGCTTATGCTCAAATAAATTTGTTAGTCTCTAAGGTGCCACAAGTACTCCTGTTCTTTTTGTGGATACGGACTAACACAGCTGCTACTCTGAAAACTAAAACTTAGGTTGACCAATCTAAATTGCTCAGGGCTGTAAAAAATTTAATGCCCTGTGCTAATTAGTTAGGCCAATCTAACCCCACCGTAGACACCTCTAGGTCAACAGAAGAATTCTTCCATTGACCTGGCTACCACATCTTAAGGGGGTGAATTTATTACTTTCTGTAGCTGTAATAAGTGTCTACCCAAAAGCACTACAGTAATGTAGCTGTAGCACTTGTAATGTAGACACATCCTGACTTTCAATGAAATTTAGGCTTTAGTGTAGACACAGGCTATATCAGCAAAATTTGTGTCACTCAGCGGTGTGAATTAAGTTAAGCGCTTGTGTGGACAGTGCTATGTCATCGCTCATGGAGGTGGGTTTTTTTATGCTGACGGGAAAACTCTCTCCCATTGGCATAGAGTGTCTTCACCACACAGGCAGTGGTGCAGCTGTGCCGGTGCAGCTGCGCCATTGCAGCGCTGTATGTATAGACGTAGCTTTAGATGCTTTTGGAATTTCTACTTGAAGTGACTTTATATCAATTACAAAGTTAGAGGCATTCAGCCTTCCCCTAGATTTCTCTCCCACCCCTCCTCCCCCACCCACACACACACATGCTGCAGTCCTACATATGCTTGACTATGGTAGAGTTAGTATCTAAATTTCTGAATATTGACATATTTTCTCTTTAATTTTATTTCCCTGACCTCCCAAAGGGGATATATAAGACCTATTCTCACCTGTTACTCATATCCTACTGCAAATGGGAATTAAATAAATGAGCTGTACACAGCATAGCTAATACAGCTTCGAAGTTCATCACAGGAGGAAGCAGTGAAGCTAAAGGGAAATCCATGAACAATTGAAAGAGTCGCCAAACAGTAAAATTTAAAGGTGTTATAGTCCTGTTTAGCAGTAGGAGCAATTATCAGAAGTGATAAGAGTTAATTGGTACCAAATCATAATCAAATTTTGATGCTGATACTGAGTGAACATAGGGTCCGCCCAGATTTCTGTGTCCTAGGTGGTCTCAGTACCTGTGGCCCACTAAGTGAATCCTGTGTGGGAAGCTTCCAGTCAGCAGCAGCTGGTAGGCTTCCCAGTTTTTCCATCTTCTGGGCATGAATTCAGAGACCTTGCTACCCTCCCTGGCAAACTGGAGCCCCCTGATTAAAAAAAAAATTACGTCTTGTGACCCAGTATTATACTTAGCCTGTATTTGGGAACCTGTGGGTTATTTCCATTAGGAAGAGTAACTGATGATGGAGTTAGGATTTTTTTTTTATACAATCCTGTTTGTTTACAAAAAATATACAAAGTCCTGTTTCCCAGAACACAGTAAGAATGGAAAAGCAGGAGATAGTTTCTTTGCTCAATGTTCCAAGCCTCTTTCCAGCCAGCACTCTGCCCAAAAGCTTTCTCTCACTTAACTTTTTCTTGGGGTCATGCTACGAATGCTTCTCTGGCCATCTCTGGGGCTTCCTTGCTGCCTTCTCTGGCTGCTTCTGTGGTGTTTCTCCCGCTTCTGTCTCTTACACGGACAGCTCCATCAATAATAAAAATATCCAGCCCTACGCATTTGCAATCAATCCTCAGGAAAATTTCTCTGTCCACATAGTTCAGATTCCTGACCAGCAGCCTTGAATGTGGCCTGTGTTTTGGGTGGTGGCTCCTATTGTTTCAGCTATTTTCTTTCATAAAGGAGCCTTAACTCTTTCTTACATCTATCCTGATGAAGGATAGCTGTTATACCCACTAGCTTCTATGAGGTTTTGCCCAAACCCTAGTACAAATAATAATTAGGGTTCCTTTTATGAAGATTACCTCTTTAGGGTTTGTCAACTACTTTTTGCTTTTTTTAAAAAAAATAAGCAAGTATTAATAACAGACCATAACTAGGAATTAACCCTGTTTTCCTAGAAAAACTACAATATGAATGACCTAGTATAGTATTTTTTCACTAGGTGAAGAAGCCTCAGAAAGTTTAATGAATCTAAGCCCCTTTGATATGAAAAATCTCCTGCACCATATTTTGAGTGGGAAAGAGTTTGGCGTTGAAAGAAGCAGTAAGTTGTCTATTTGGTTGCTTGAATGTATTCTAACTTGTGCATGTATATATTGAGCAAGAGCTATTTAGATGCAGAGTTTATTTTAAGTTTTATAAGCAGCAATCTCCTCTTTAGAAATGTTTGCTGCAGAGATCCCGATTATGTATGAAACACAAGGGTTTAATATCCAAAAACAAACATGCCTGTTATTTTCAGTACCCCAAGTATTATTTTGAACTATAGAATTTTTAATATAGCAATATTGTAAAACCATATAATCATTTTTGGACACATCTGTGGAAATAAGTGATCTTTCCAGACAGGAGGAATACAGTAAGAATTGTAGTGAGATTGCATCAAGCATTTTTATATGTACAAAGAGTGGTCTGTTTATAACCTATCTTGCCCCTCAACATGTGTATCAGCCAGGTGACATACTTTATCATGGCAGAGATAGTTTCATTGTTCTGTCATCTCTTCATTTTTGAATGCAGAGTAATCCTTAAAATGTAAACTGTTCTAGGATTGGGCTTTGGTGTGGTCATACAGCCCCTGCCACGTTGTTGTGCGGGGGACAGATGCATGGTGTCTCAGTGGGAGCTTTGGGAGACATTGTATTAGATTTAGGCATGGAAGGCCAGATTCCCAGCTGGTGTAAATGAATGAACATCTGGAAGTGTGAGCCAGAGCAACTCCTGTCTTACACCCTTTTACAGGGCACAGTATGTGCTCCCCACTCAGTATAGATCCAACTGTGCAGGATGTTACAGATGTGGAGGGGCATGGCCCTCTCCCCTCCACCTGTTTAGGGTAGGCTGCGGTTGCTGTCAGGACTAGCCAGGATCACTCTGAGCACAAGGACTAGGTTTGTGTCTGGTCTCTGTGTAGGGGCACAAAAATGAGACGCTCCTTGTGCCGTGTACCTAAATAAGGCCAGATACAATGTTTAGTGTTGGTTGATTTCACTTATGTGCGCACAGATGATAATTAAGGCTCATTATTAAACTTAAAACATAGATGTGGGTCTGAAACTGGGAGCTGGTGAAAATGCTTGTGAATGGCAAATATTTATAGATGCTAGATGCTATAGTGTTTCCATCATTTGTTCTGGGCATGTAATGGACATTGACAAAGCAGAGCTCTGTCTCCTTCCTACCTAACGACCATTTTTGAAGGTTCATCCTTTCACAGGTCTGCAAATCATGTTAAGTAACTGCACATCAAATTGTTTTAAAATATATATGAATACAGAAAACATTGTGCACTAAAATTAGGCCATGTCAAGTTCTCAGTGATACGCAGACAGACTTTTAAAATGAGAATGTCTAATGTGACCAGGGTTGAAGGATATTGAGAACAAAAACATCTGGCCTGTCTAAACTTCAAAGGACATATCAATAGTCCCAGGAATTCCTGGCTCCTAAATCCATATTTAGGCCAAAATATTTGAAGGGTTGAGCACTCAAAAAACCCCATTGAAGACATTGGGAGCTGCAGATTCCCACTAGCTTTGAAAATTGGGCCAAAAATATTTAAATGTCTAAATATGGATTTAGAAACCCAACTTTAGGCCATTCTGATTTGAAAGTTTGACTTATGCTTTTAATATTATTGGAAGTAAAGAGATATCATGGAAAGTGCATAGTCCTGAGATACAAGGTGTTTTTCCTTTAATTTCTACATACAGTTTTAAGTTGTATTCTTATTACTACTTAAACATAGCTACGTTTAATCTAGAAAAATGCCTTTTTTCTTTCTTTAGTGCGGCCTCTAGATTCCTCTACCTCCAGCCCTGCAATTTCTATTCATGAAGTGGGGCACACTGGAGCAACTAAAACAGAAAGAAGTGGCATTACTAGACTGAAGAGTGAAATGAAACAGGTGGGAGGATCTCCTTTTCTGTGCATTCTTTAAGCAGCACAGGATTTATGAAAGTCATGTTTTAAACTCAGGAGACAAAACTGATTTTTTGTTTGTTTTATCTAGCCCCTATTACATTCATGGTAAATTGCAAACTTTTCCTATCTGCTTTATTATTTGAAGTAGTAGTGGCTGTTTAAAAAAAATTAAAAATTAAAAAAAAGGCGGGGGGGGGGAGGCAGGAGGTAAGGAAATCAATTTTTTTTCCAAACCATTTTCCTTTTTGGTTTTAATTTAAAATTCTTAAATTAGCACATTTCAACCAGCTCCTGGTTTGAAGCATTAAGGGCACCTGACAGACCAAGTTCCCATCATTCTTTCTTAGGTAAAGATTCCATTCGCATCAAAGTAAAGATTTGGCTCAAACAGTATTCATGCTTGTATTTTACACCTCTGTTTTTTCTGGCATACAAATCTTTAATGTCTCAGGTAAAGAATGTCTCAGGTAAAGAACTCTGTTTACTTTAGCAAATGGTAGGTTGGGAGGCAAACAAAGAGGCGTTTTCTTATCTCAGTAGGCAGAGGGATTGGTGAGCTACCTCCCCATTAATGCAGTAACATATGTACTGTATAAATAAGATACCAATACAGCTGGAGGAGTTTTTCTATGCAGATTACTAGATGCAAACATCTTTTCTGGGAACAGCACATTCAATTCTTATTTACTTTGGCATGTAAATGTAATTCTTAAACCAAAACAAATTTGTCTAATGATTTGGCCTAAATAAATAAGTCCTGATTTAATTTCCGAGTATAGCCTCATCCTGCACTGAGATCTGCAAGCAGGGATCTTTACTCTCCTCCCTCGCCTCCCCCCATCCCCCCTGAGTCCCTCCATGCAGATGTAAAGATACACTCAGAAAAGAAATCTTGGATCCATTTTTCATGTGTTTCTGCATAGGAGGGACAAGAGTCACTATCCAATGAGACCACTGGGACTCTTTTTGCTAATACATTTTCTCATGCAGTAAGTGAGCATATGGGAAGATACAATAGAGAACACAAACCAGATTGTTTTTAAACTGTTTTAGGTTATTTTTGTACATTTGTTTAAATTAATTGCATAACTAATTTTTGATTCCAGATGAATAGGAGGTCATCTGCTGATGAAAAGGTGAAATAAATCTATATGTTCATAAGAATGCATGTTTTCCTCCCTCACTACTGAATTACGTACACTTGTCCTAGAACTAAGGGAACTAAGAGGCTTTTTGTACGCTGTGAATATAGAACACTTTAACATTCAATGATCTAATTAATATGGTGCAGTTTTGCCTGTGCTACTGCTGCTAGTTTGTTGTTGTGAGCAGAATGACCTATGTTCCAGTCTCTCCAGAGGTCTAGCAATTTATATCAAATTTAGAGTGTGGATATCAGTCACATGGCAAGTTGTGAATATCTGAGTTAATTTCCTTTCAAGTAGAGAACACATTATAATGTCCTGCCTTTTAGAATACCTGACTGGCCATTAGATGGCAGCATTATATTGTTCTACATAGAGATGTAGCACAGTTGCAACTTTCTTTAGAAATTTAAAGGTGGGAAAATGTTTCTGAGATTAGTCACTTTAGAAGGAGAGGTGCTATTTCTGCACAGAAAAGGAGTTGCGTGGCTTCTTTCCTGCTGAGGAGAGTTGACCTTTTTCCATTCATGTTGATTCCCAGTAGGTTTTGTTGAGCCATCAGGAATATTCAACCTTTTGTGTCGGGGGGGAAAAAACCCAACTCTTAAAGACATCAGTTTGACGGTGAACATTTTGATTGTTTTGACCTCAGACTGTTTCTATATTGGAGCTGATTTTCAAATGTGCTTAGCACCTCCAGCTCCAATTATTGATTTCTTTGGGTGTTCCATACTTCTGAAAATCAGTCCCAGTACTTTTACAGCTTATCTGAATCATTATTGTTTAATCAAAAAGAAAGCTATTAAGAATACCCTTAGGTGCTAACCAGCATCTAATCATTTCTCTTGGAAAACTGCCTCAGTAGTTTTGCTAAGTATTACCGGCCTGGCTAACAACCTGCATGATTTGATAGCATGGTATAACTTTCTTTCTAGCACTAATATAAGGTAAGGGATGCTGAAGAGAAAATGTAAGCTGGCAATATTGACCATGCATCATGTGGATGCAGCTGCATTCTTTTTTAATCTCATTTGGGTTTTTATGTCTTCGTGCTCTCTGAGGTAGATTCTGTGGAAAGCTTGTGATAGCGTAGTAAGAGATTAATGTAAAACACTGAAGATCCTTAAACATAAAGGGTCTAATTGTGATTTCACTTTAATGTAAATCTGGAGTAACTTCCCTGATTTCAATGAAATTGTATCAGTGTGAGAGCCCATTTTGACCCAAAGAATGGTTCTCTCTTAAGTAAATGAGTTTAATTTTTATTGCACATTTGTTCCTTTTCATGCATGTGTCACTTCATCTTGTTTGTCTTGTCATGACTGACTGACTTTTTTTTTATTTCTGTTTTGTAGTTCTTTTATGGGGGCCATTCCATGTCCAGCAGCATGCATGCTTCCAGGTTCACGGTAAAATACCATTCAGAAATTTGCAGTCTGTTTCCTTTCTCCCTCTGCAGGGAGTCTAAACATAACTTGCAGCTTTTCTTATGTGAAATGTATGTGGGTTTTTTTTTTTAAACCCTAGCTTTTTGTTTCATTCACCTTCATGGAGAGCCAGTTCTTATTTCTGGTTTTTTATAACAGAAATCTTATTTTCCACATTCTTCTAAATTTTCAGTGTTATGATGGATTTAGCTACTTGACTAGGAGCTGCGTGGCTAAATCCTGTGCAGCCCATTTAATGGTAATGTGGAAATATAAATTTAACCCCATTTATTCTCAGGGGGGTTTTTAGTTATATAAATTTTGAATTCATAGGAGGAAAGAGATAATAGTGCTGGTTAGAGCAAAGTGTGGGCCAGTTTCCACATATTGTAATATCTTACCCTTCTATTCCACCCCTGTTGGGATAAAACTGAGGAGTGATTTTGCCTACTAGGGACGTGGATGAAATTCCCTTCAAATTCACTTTTTCTTCTCGATCTAAATAAGAGTTTGAAATTAGGCCTGCCTTTTCATTTGAAGGATAAAGCATATTAATTCATTGTGTCAGCTGCTCCTTCACTCCCAAACTCTCCCAGTCTGCATAGACAAATAGCCATACAAGTAAAATGACAAATGTCCAATGTTAGCTATCTTAGCTGGTAGGATAACAATTAACACAGGGCCTACCTGTACTGCACCCAAAGACCGATTGGCTTCACTGTGAAGGCGAGTACATAGGTGCTGGAACTAGGGGTGCTGGGGCTGCTGCCACACCTCCTGGCTTGAAGTGGTTTCCATCATGTTGTACAGGGTTTACAGTTTGGATCAACATCTCTCAGCACCTCCACTATACAAATTTTTCCAGCACCGCTGGTCGAGTACAGTTAAAATCTTTTCATAGATTCATAGATTCATAGATTCTAGGACTGGAAGGGACCTCGAGAGGTCATCGAGTCCAGTCCCCTGCCCGCATGGCAGGACCAAATACCGTCTTGACCATCTTCAATATTAGTAGCTGAAAGGTTTCACTTTTATGGGCTCCTAATTCATATCCTCAAGGATAACTTTGCAAGATCTTTAGTTTGTTTTAATACTCAAAAAATAGAATGTTTCTTCATTTCCAAATAACTCTCAAACGTGACCAACTAGCCTTAATAACTTGCTGCACTTTGAACCAAGTGCTGTACACGCTGGGTGCAAGACATCCCTTTTCAGTGGGTTTGCACCAGATGTAGGCACCATTTACGACCTGGGAGGTTAAATGGTACATAGGATTTGGGCTGGCCACTGTGGACATGGATAAATATCACCCATTCTGAATATTGACAAAGATTACTGGTCCAAATCCTGGTCCAGTACAAGAAGATGAATTTAAACCCATGGCTTTTATTAGTGTGACTTTCTTCAGCCAGCCAGCCATCTTTCTTCAAGGCCTTTAATGGAGAGATCTTCAGCAACTTCTGCTCCAACTAGGCTCTCACTCTTGAGAGAAGGGAGCTCTTGTCCCCTTCCCACCATGCCTTGCTCTAGTAACCTGCAGTTCCCAGATGCCCTGTCTGCTTCAGGCCCTCAAATTCCCATCATGCCGCAGTGGACAGCAGAAACCTGAAACTGGGCAATGCTAGACCTGAAAGCATCCCTTCAGTGTCTTAAAGGGACAGTAAACTCCATTACTCCCACACTCACCCACCCCTTGTGGTTTTGGCCAGTGGATCCATGTGTGCACAGACCCACAGTGCATGTTACGCCTCCCAAACCCCATGGATATTGTACAATGTACCATCTCAAAACACTTTTCTGACACAGGCTATGTACCTCTTTGTGGTTTCTCCCTGGCCTGCCTGGTTCCTGCACAGTAGGTGTGTTACTTTTTAGTCCTTCTGCACCAATGCAAAGAGGGACAGAATTTGGCCCATATTCTCAGTGCACTTGATTCAAATGTAGTGAGTTATTAAATGAGATCTGGATAAACTGCTTAGTCAAAACAGGGACAAATGAAAGAAGTGTCTATGCACACAGTAATTACTTCAGCACTGGCACTCCTGCTGAACTCCTTCATTACTTAACTGTCATCTCTGCTGAATTAGAGAAAGAAAGCTTGACTGTGCATCAGTCAGGATGCTGTACAAAGAAAATGAACATACTGCATCAAACCAGCAAAGGTAAGCTGGTTTGGGTTTTTTTGCATTAGAAAGAAAAGCCATTGAGTAGGTATATCGCGTTTTAGAATTCACGTCTGTAGTTTTCTAGCATTCTGATCCTGCAGACCTTACTCTGGCTAAACTTCCACAATCTTCAGTAGCAGTTTCCTTTGAGAAAGGACTGGTGGGATCAGGCTGTCAGTGAGCTCCTCTCTAGGCAGTACTCCAGGCGCAGTTATGCCTGGCCCTGCATGGGTGTGCAAGAGTGGGCAAGGAGCCTTTCCTACTTTAATACAGAACTGGGCGCAATCCAGTTGACTAGAAGGTTTATGCAAGTCTAGAGCCACAGCTAGTGCAAGACTTTTCCCTCTTTGCACAGGACAACAAAGCTGGTTATATGCATGTGCATCACATAGCATAGTCACTCTATGCTCTTTTTTGGGCACAATACATTCAGAAATTCTTGCAATAGTCTCTGCATCACTCCCAATCACCACTGCTCCCTAAAAGGCACTAATTTAGCCCTGAGAGTGTTTAAACAGATGAACTGTGGAAGTTGTCCACACTAGCAAGAAATCCCACTTTAATCTATGCACGCTGTTCTGGTCATGGAACAGAGCCTGCCTCTTAAGTATTTCCAAGTTAGATTCAAAAGGAAAGTCCTCTGAAATATGAAGATGTCTTTTAAGTCATTAAACTTAGATTTTACATAATTGTCTTTTGCTCTAACAAGCTCATTTGTCCAGTTGGTTGACTTGAAAATATTTGTGTAAGCACCAACAGATACAGTATAAATCAGCTCTCTTGGTCTAGCAGCAGGAGCCCAGCTATGAAAAGTTGCTTCTTCCTTCCCAAAAAATGGGAGGGACTGCTATTGTTACTTTGATTCCCCCTTTAAGACAAGGGGATACCCTCTAAAGCCCCAACCCCCAGATTGAGTACCACGAAGGATATTTGTAAGCAAGGGGAGAGACGCTTGCTTCTCTGTAAAAATCCGAGGAAGATGGGAACATTGCCCAGGAGTCCTATAGTTTAGGAGGATTGAATGATTCATGTATTATAAAAAGATTCCAGGATTGCCAGGCTGAGTCAGTGTGAAGCGATGGAAGAAACTACAAGCAGGGTTGAGAGTTGTTGTTGTTTAGAATGTCACTAGGTTCAATCCCCACTGGGTTCCATGAGAACAAGATGGAATGTTGGCATCCAAAGGTTCTATGGCAGTTAGAATGTGAGAGTTGAGCAGAGGAGGTGGGAGTAACAGCTACATGGACTAACGAAAAGGGGGTGGTGCCTCCAGCCAGGGGGCAGCTCTGTGTATGAACTTTGGGGAACAAGTACAAACAGCAACATGGCTCATTACAACACACAGTGCATGAAACAATAGCCCCTCAATATTACCTACCTATGTGTCTTCACTATCTGATTTCCTATTCACTAATACACGCTGCTTTATGGTGTTAACATGTTTACTGCTGTGGTGTTTTGTGTGTGTTTCCTGCTGTGGTGTTCGGCAGAATAGTACACAAATGTACTGGTGTGAAGGGCTGCCACAAGTACTAAAATAATCTGATTCCAAGCTGTACAGAATTGGGCACAAGTGTAAACAGTCCCCATGTGTATCGCAATATGATGGCACTGTTACCAGGACCACTCTGAGCTTTGACCACCTAATGCCAGGAAAGCAAGCTACCCGCGCTGGCCATAGAGAGGCTAAAAGAAGGAAAATGCTATGGGAAAATAATCAGATAGAGAGCAAAGGTGGTGGTTTACTTGGCCTAAATACCATACCCATATGACAGCACTGGCTTTCATCTACTGATAGTGTATGTGTGATTTATTGAGTAGTCCCATGTATCAAAATATGGGCCCTTGTCTCTCTCAACCTATGATGCCCTTTGCAGTGCATTCCTTTAAATGGGTGGCTTTTGCTTCCCCAGTCTGTGGACTGGCTGCTGAAGAATGCCAGAGCCATTCTTATGCAAGAAGGAATGAGGGCTTCTAATGCAGAACACATGTGATTTCCACTGACCCTGGAAATAAGAATTTAATGATGATGGTGCCCCAACTTTACAGATAACAAAGAGCAGTAATCTGTTTGCCCAATTTGCTCATGATCAAGCCTGAAAGAGTAAATAACAGTGAAATCAAGAGCAATAATGACAGCATTCAGGATATAAGTCTGACATGTGGAGAGATGTAATATCTTAGGGGTTGGCAACGTTTGGCACGTGGCTTGCCAGGGTAAGCACCCTGGCGGGCTGGGCCAGTTTATTTACCTGCTGACCCCTGTAGCTTCTTGCAAAAGTGCCTTCCTGAAATTATGGACCCATCATTTGTCTTAAAACACAACTGCAGATCCTGTAATCTCTTTCACACTGAAGGCTGTGGTGCAAAGAATTTATAAGGTCTGCAGACATGCTTGGCAGAGCTGGTAAGTTCCACAAACCAAATAAACTCCTGTTCAAGGAAGTTATACACTCAGCTGGCAAGACCAGTAGAATTTTTAAAATTCCAGGAAAGGTCTGATGGGGGAAATGCCATTTCTGCTCCTTATGTCTCCCAGGGATTACTGAGATAGTCCAATGGAAGGTCTCCTCAATGGGGTATGAGGCCATTCCTTTGCTTAGCTCTAGTAGATAGCCGCAAAAGAAATCTGTATCTGGGTATCAGGAAACTGGAAAAAGTCCAAGTTAGGATAGTTGTCCCATATACTGCACTAGAGGGGGCAGAGAAGCAATCCAGATATTTGTCAGATGGACAGATTAGCAATCATCCCTTGACCATGGATGGCTGGATCCCTCTCCATACACATATACTATGCAGTGTGAGCAAACAAATCTACTAATCTGTTCTGTTTAGTTTAACCACTTTTGCATGCCTGTGACCTTTTCATAGTATACCTTAAAACCACCATTGAGCTTACAACATATTTACAAAAAAGTTACTATTCCTTCCCACTACTTTTAGCACTAAAGTTTACCTCTAGCCAAATCCCCAATATATATTTTGATCTCAAGCTAAGGAGAGTCCAGCCTGTTTAGTTTTTGAATGGGAGAGCAAGGGGAAAATAGTCAGTGCTGCCAAGTCAGAAGTGAGGCATTTGTTCCCAAATTTAAGTACTTTAACAGCAGTGCCACTTAGAATTAGGATTCAGTCTGTGTGGTTGCTCTGTCAAGTAAAGACATCCCCTCCCCCCACCCCAACCATGACAGAAGACTTTTCTAAAATCACGTTATTAATTGGGTCAGATGAAGCTGCAAAGTCAAGCTGATTTTGTTTTGCTGACTGCTCATTTGTTCATTTTGAAATTGAGGCAAATAAGTAAAATGTGAAGAGATTCGTTGTGAAAGAAAAACGTTTACCTTTTCCTGTCAAAGTCTTCAAAAGAAATCAGTCAATATTCACCAAAAACTGCATTGAATTGAAACTGTAACAGAGTGGTGTAACATGCAAGAGTGGGTGCTCTCATGTTAACCTGTTGTAGTTACTAAATGGTCTGTCTCTTGCAGAGGGGCAGTATTCCATCATCTCCCACTAGGACTTCATCTCCTACAGGGTCTACTGTAAATGACATCAGCTGGGGTGATCGCCAAGGGCAATGGCTCCGCAGAAGAAGGCTTGATGGTGCCATTAACAGAGTTCCTGTAGGGTTCTATCAAAAAGTATGGAAAATCCTTCAGAAGGTAAGTTAATAGTAGTAGAGGGTGTACAGTATCTTGGGAGGCTGGTATTTCAGATGGAATATTACTGTGGTCAGGAAAAACTATAATACTTTGTGGAATATGTCTGACTAATACACAAGAGCTCCATTCACATGTGCTCATAAATCAGTTTGTCAATGTATTTCCTCTGAAAACCAGCACTAAACTGCAAACGAATGATTAAATTCTACAGTTTCACATTGTTCCTCATCTTCAACAGGTCATGAAGGGCTCATAATCTGCACATCCTCAATTCAAGAAGATAAGTTGGTAGAATAGGAAGGGTTAAATAAGAAGCTATGTTTCTTTAAAATGTCTGAGTTCTACTGCTGGATTTCATAAAAGCTATACTATTTTTAAAACCAATTTTTAGTTTGCTCTACTGTCACTGAAAATAATCCCTGAAGTTGCTCCTGAGTTTAGTAATATGGTGCAGTAGCTGAATTTGAGAATGATTTAAGAAACAGGGGAACATGAATTCCAGTTGACTTCAATGAGATTATTCACTTGCTTTTGTGTATTGCTGGATTAGGGCCAGAGTGTTCAGCACCCAGCAGCATTGAGCCGTATTGAGTACTAAAATGGAGGTAGGAATATATGCCATGAGTCTAGATAGCTCACAGTTGTGCAATTCAAAGCAACACTCTAAAATACAGGCTTAACTGATGCCAGCAAAGACACAAGTCTTCTGTGAATTCATCCACTAGGTTTATTAAAGGGACACTGCCAACTTAAATTGCCTTTGTCTGAAATGTACCATTTTTACAAATAATACCTAAAGTAATTAAAACTGACAGATCAGAGGAAAAACTGTTCAAGTTTTCCTTATGGATGACATCATTTTTTATAATCAGTGTCACAGTTTCCCATGAATAGTCAGTCAGTTTCCCTTGTTGTTTGAGTGACTTCTACACAGCGACCATGGAAAGGAAAAACATTTAAAAGATAGCAAACTACAATTGTAAAATGACTGAGGTCGTACTTAATTTGCAATATGGTGGAAATTGCGGATTTGACAATATTAGGCTTCCACCATCATTTTCATTTTAATTAGCTCACTTTCCTGAACTACTGTACGTGTAAGGTGGTTTTTGGGTTTTGTTTGTTTGTTTGTTTGTTTGTTTGTTTGTTTGTTTTGGAGAATCAAATAGAATTTTATTTAGTCAAATTCAGCCTATAGTTTCCTTTGCTCATTATCATCCAGTTATTCTTAAAATCCCTTTGGACAATTCTTAATACCTCTCCCTCCTTGGTGTTTTCAGACTTTAGATGCCTAGATGACCATCATGCCCTGGTCATGCCTTAGCCAAGCTACATGTATATAGTTTAAAAAAAACTCTTTCCTCATATGCCAATTTGTCTAGCTCCTCTGTAGTTTTTGTTGCCCATTTTGAATGGCATCTTTCATTTACTGATATTCTATTCTGGTGCTCCAAGTCATATATCCTAAACTAAGTGGTGTTTGACCCTAGAGCAAGAGAGAGGGATCTTCACTTTCCTGGTCCATAGCAATGCTTCTCTGTTGGTGGGCTTATAGTTTTTTTACCCTCCCCTAATTGTCCTTTTGTATTGCAAGCTCATATCTAATTTGCTGTACTTTCACCTTTAGATGTCTCCTGCTGTTACTGCTTTCCAAGTACCTCCCTCCCACTGAACAGTTGTGTTTCAGCTTAAGTGTGGCATAGGGTTATTTATAGCATCCAGTCTTTCTCTCCAATAGTTTTCTTGTCATAATGAACATTTTGGGACAAATGAAATAACATTTTTATATGGGTTCACTGTTTTTAAAACTTGTCAGACATCAGAACAGCTTTTCCAGGAAGAATTTAAAACTCAAAAGGAATACAAGATTCCAGATATACTTTTAAGGATTGTGTTTTTAATCAACACTGATTTTTTTAAATTTTTTTTTAGTGCCATGGCCTGTCCATTGATGGCTATGTCCTTCCTTCTTCAACTACAAGAGAGGTATAGTAAATAATAATATTAATGGGGTCTTTCCACGATTTTATGATAAGTTGTATGACTCAAGCACACGATGTAACAGGATCATTGGAGAAAACGTTTTGTTTTAAAACATTTAAAATCTAAGCTTACAATGGAAGTTTTACAGTTTGAATCTTAACTAATAGTTCTGCTGAATGTATGAGTGACGGATGCTGTAGGGCAGATTTTAATCTGAGATCCATGATGTTCACAGATGCAAGTCTTAAAAATACTAGGCTTTCCCACGACCACATAAGATTATATTTAGAACATCTGAGGTTTGCATGTGTTAGTATAATTTCTATGGTGTACCATAATGTGAGCCTCATTCACTTATTCAACATCACTTTTAACTTATATCCTTTTCCCTCTGTGCATTTAAGAAAATGAAGTTATTTTTAACCACAGGCAATGAAGTATCAGAGCTCTGCACCTGCAGTGAGTTGATCATTAATCTTGTTGGCACATTCTGAATTTCGATGCAAGATTTCCCATCCTTGACCTCTGGATGCAATTTTCCTAGAAAATAGCAATAATGTAACATTTTTTTGGTGGCTAATGTGCAGTCAGTCTTTTTCTCTTAATTTTCCCTGTTCAAGTATTAATTTTTTACTAAAGAGAGGTTAAAGTTTACTCAGTTCTGTTTAAGTATTAAAACAGAGAGTGGCAAATACAAAAGGGAATAGAAGCCGAGTTAGGAAAATTAAACAATTTGCTGAAATTAAACAAAGACAAATACCTGTTTAGAATTCTGTGACTGCAGACAATATTCCAGCACTGTGGTTATAAAAACAAATATGAATCACAGACATGTGGCTGACCCAAATTTTGCCTTTTTAAACCTTTGTTCTTTCTTCATATAATTTTTTTGAGCTGTTTCAATCTGAGAGAGCAAGTGCTAGAGTCTTGCTTCCTTTGTGTGTTGCAACTATCCATCAATAGGACTCAGTGATTCCAAGTGATTCCCTTGTCAATGTAGATCATTTATGCTACACCTAGATGTTTTATTTTAGTTTTCCCTTTCATTCACGATCCTAGACTTTGAAGAGACCCACCTACCACCTCTGCCACCACCTGAACCACAAACAATCTTGCATGTTAGGACCTTGACGCAGTATGATATAGTATAATGATGCTCTGAGCCAATAAAACAGGGAACCAAGTCATAAGGCTACTGAGCTGTAGAGTGAGTAGGTTAAATTATTGTCTCTAAACCTTTCCACTTGCCTGTTTCTCAGCATCAGGAGAGTAACTGTTTCACAGATTGCAAACTGTAATCATTCTTGTCAATTGAAGAGATTTGAGTATGTTCCCTCCAGGAAAAGAGAAGCACGTGAATTTCACCCCACCCCCAACCAAAACCCTACAATGCTCCATTCCTGTTTCCACTCTCAGGGATTTTTGATCCCAAAATTGTCTTTCCTTGGATAGCTGCTTACCACCAGGGCTGCTTTGTCTCCAGAAATGATGGTTTTTCTTCACCGCAGGAGCAGATCTTACCTGCTCCTCCAGCAGTTTCCAGGCAGCTCTTTGTTCACCATGATAAAAAACCTTCTTTTGTTGCTCTTAAATGCTACGGTTGATTCAGTTGTGCAGTTTGCACAGGTGGCATTACACTTGTGAAATGCAAAATCTTTCTGCAGTGCACTTGGTACAGCAAGCCATGTGTTTTAACAATTTCATGTATGCCGATGACAGTACCTCTTATGGTGTGACTGTCACCCATACCACTTATAAGGTGGCACCTCACTCATGGGTATATATTAATGAATATCAGTGTAATATTGCTGTTTGAGTAAAATGAATACCATCCCTTGTAAAAGTGTAATGTCTGCCTTGTATAGTGTAATACTGCATGATTCTCATATTCTGACTTGTATCAGAGGGGTAGCCGTGTTAGTCTGGATCTGTAAAAGCAGAAAAGAGTCCTGTGGCACCTTATAGACTAACAGACATATTGCAGCATGAGCTTTCGTTGGTGAATACCCACTTCGTCGGATGCATGTAGTGGAAATTTCCAGAGGCAGGGATAAATATGCAAGCAAGAGTGAGTCAGGCTAGAGATAATGAGGTTAGTTCAATCAGGGAGGATGAGGCCCTCTTCTAGCAGTTGAGTTGCATATTCTGACTTGTAAGCTTTATTGCCATTTAATTGGTTAAAACACTTGGACAGCATTCACTCTCCTTCAAATCTTTTTTCAGAATTAACAGGATACGGTTAGGATTGATAGGCCTAAAATTAGACAGTCTGGCTTTAAGTTTACAGATGTATTATACATGCAAACGATGCCATCCTGCCTATCTGCCTCACTCTTGTAAGTATGTAGAGTATTGAAATTCACAACAATCCTACTGAATTCCTATGTAATGCAGACTCCTGTCTGCTCATACAAATAGCAGACAAGTAGAATGGAGGCACAGCTCAGTGTGCATATCCCTGTTTGAAACATAGGCATCACTCTATGTTATGGTGCTGGTAACAGCTGCAAAAGAATATGAAATTTTCTGTGGTATTGCAGTCCTTATTTTGTGGAAGTGATAAGTTTCCCCTCCTCCCCACATCCTCCTCCAACAACAGGCTAGTTACAAAAAAGAGGATTCATTTTTAGACCTGACCATATCTAATTTCATTTCTGACCTTGACCGTATCTAATTTCACTATTAATAGGAATCAAACTAAATAAGCATAACTTCCTGAGGCTATCATTTCATGTGACATCTGCACAGCTCTGCCCATGCAAAGTAGGTTGTTCTAGCAGCAATGTAGATATCAATCTTTGGGATAACATTCACTCTTAGCAAGTGATGTGGTTTTTTTTTTTTTTAATCTCTACAATATCTTTGGCTTCATAAACAAAACCTGTGATCCAAAAAGATGCCTACACAAAATAATGTGAGGTTAATATCGTGATCAAAGAATGAATTTGCAAGATAATAAGCATCAACATTCCCATATGTAAGCAATGTGTGTTGACAGATAGTATAGTGTAACAGACTTTTCTGAAAGTTACAGAATTTTTTTTGATTGCTAGGCCTTGAGTCTGCAAACAGTTTGCAAGTGCTTAGTTTTACATATGCAAGTAGTCCCATTCATTTCCATGGGACTATTTACATGTGCAAAGTTAAGCACATGTTTAAGTGTCTGAAGTATCTGGGGCCTTATCTTCTTGCATTTATCTGTTTATCTTTTCACTAGGGCTGTCAAGCGATTAAAAAAATTAATCACGATTAATCACACGATTAATCACACTGTTAAGAATAGAATACCATTAATTTAAATATTTTGGATGTTTTCTACATTTTCAAATATATTGATTTCAATTACAACACAGAATATAAAGTGTACAGTGCTCACTTTATTTTTGATTACAGGTATTTGCACTACAAAAGAACAAAAGAAATATTATGTTTCAATTTACCTAATACAAGTACTGTAGTGCAATCTCTTAATCATGGAAGTTGAACTTACAAATGTAGAATTATTTACAAAAAAAATGCACTCAAAAATAAAACAATGTAAAATTTTAGAGTCTGCAAGTCCACTCAGTCCTACTTCTTGGTCAGCCAATCACTCTGACAAACAAGTTTGTTTACTTTTACAGGAGAAAACGCTGCCCACTTCTTGTTTACAATATCACCTGAAAGTGAGAACAGGCATTCTCATGGCACTGTTGTAGCCAGAGTCACATGATGTTTATGTGCCAGATGCGCTAAAGATTCATATGTCCATTCATGCTTCAACCACCATTCCAGGGGACATGCGTCCTTGCTGATGACAGGTTCGGATCGATAACAGTCCAAAGTAGTGCAGACTGACGAATGTTCATTTTCATTATCTGAGTCAGATTCCACCAGCAGAAGGTCGATTTTCTTTTTTGGTGGTTTGGGTTCTGTAGTTTCCGCATTCTAGTGTTGCTCCTTAAGACTTCTGAAAGCGTGCTCCACACCTCGTCCCTCTCAGATTTTAGAAGGCACTTCAGATGCTTAAACCTTGTGTCCAGTGCTGTAGCTATCTTTAGAAATCTCACATTGATACTGTGACGTTCCCCTCTGTGTTACCTGGACCGGTGATTTGCTAGGTCCTTCCAATCCTTGACTCTGGGAGCCAGCCTTACCCTGCTCTGCTGTGAGAACTCCCACTCCTGGGCTGTTCACGCACAGCCTCTGGCATGTAAGCTGCTCCCAGCTACTTGCAACCAAATGACACTAGCCAATATCTCCGGCCCCAGACACAACCCTAGGAACCTCCGTCTTGCAGTGTCCAGTTACGCCCGCTGGACGCTGCAAGCTTATATGAGTTCGTCAATTTAACAAAGAAATGGATATGTACCAGGCTTGTTATCCCAAGGGGAGTCTCTGACACACTTCAAACCAAACGCACTGCTTCAAGTAGAATAAGCAAACAGATTTATTAACTACAAAAGATAAATTTTAAGTGATTATAAGTCAAAACATAAGTCAGATTTGGTCAAATGAAATAAAAGCAAAATGCATTCTAAGCTGATCGTAACACTTTCAGTGCCCTTACAAACTTAGATGATTCTTACCACAGGCTGGCTGGTTGCTCTTCAGCCAGGTTCTCCCCTTTGATCAGCGCTTCAGTCACTTGGTGTGGTGTCTGTAGATGTAGGTGGAAGAGAGAGAGAACATGGCAAACGTCTCTCCCTTTTATCTTGTCCTTTCTTCTTTCTTGGCTTTGCCCCCCCCCCCTTCAGAGTCAGGTGAGCATTACCTCATCGCAATTCCAAACTGACCAAAGAAAGGGGGGGTGACCCAGTCGAGAGTCCAACAGATCCTTTTGTTGCTGCCTAGACCAGCGCCCTTTGTTCCTGTGAGGCTGGGCTGGGTTTGTTCCATACCTGCCCTGATGAGATGTGAACTGCCTCTCCTCTTCTTGGAAAGTTTTTGCCTGGGCTTGCTCTAAGCCATGAGGATTCATTTTCAGCCTCTTAACTATATACATGAAATTGTAACCTATAACCTTACTATAACATTACTGTAACAATTACTATAACATCACTATAACAGCCATGCTCAGTGCATCATGAGCCTTCGGAAGACACCCAACATGATAAACTTTGCATTGGATACCACACAATCATTTTATAAAGATGAACATGGGGGTGTAGGGTGTTCCCCCAAGGTACAAAGTGTCACAGATACTTTCTTTGCATTTTGTGAAATCTGCAGTGAAAGTGTTCTTAAAATGAACATGTGCTGGGTCATCATCCTAGACTGATATAACATGAAATATATGGCAGAATGCAGGTAAAACAGAGCAGGGGACTCCTCTGCCAAGGAGTTCAATCACAAATTTAATTAACGCATTATTTTTTTTAACAAGCGTCATCAGCATGTCCTCTGGAATGGTGGCTGAAGCATGAAGGGGCATATGAATGTTTAGCATATCTGGCACGTAAATGCCTTGCAATGCCAGTTACAAAAGTGCCATGCAAATGCCTGTTCTCACTTTTAGGTGACATTATAAATAAGTGTTTGTTTACATTTATCTCCTGTAAATGTAAACAAACTTGTTTGTCTTAGTAATTGGCTGAATAAGAAGTAGGACTGAGTGGACTTGTAAGCTCTAAAGTTTTGCATTGTTTTGTTTTTGAGTGCAATTATATAACCAAAAAAATCTACATTTGTAAGTTACACTTTCACGATAGAGATCACACTACAGTACTTGTATGAGGTGCACTGAAAAATATTCTTTTTTTGTTTATAATTTTTACAGTGCAAATATTTGTAATCAAAATAATATACACTTTGATTTCAATTACAGCACAGAATACGATGTATATGAAAACAAAGAAAAACATCCAAAACATTTAATAAATTTCAATTGGTATTCTATTGTTTAACAGTGCAATTAAACCTGCAATTAATCACAATTAATTCTTTTAATCGCGATTAATTTTTTGAGTTAATTGCATGAGTTAACTGTGGTTAATCGACAGTCCTACTTTCCACTAACCTATCCCCTAACTTTCCAGATGACCCCTTGTGAAATCAAGTTTGCTGTGCATGTGGAGTCAGTGCTGAACCATGTACCCCAGCCTGAATACAGACAGCTGCTGGTGGAAGCTATTCTTGTTCTCACACTGCTGTCGGACATAGAGGTGACCAGCATTGGGGGCATAATCCATGTGGATCGAATAGTGCATGTGGCTAACGATCTATTTCTTCAGGAACAGGTGGGTACAGCAGATTTCCAGTAATATCTGAGGGTGGGCTTGGGAAGGTATTGCATTTGAAACGGTCTAACTCCATTTTTGGAATTTGTGGGGAAAAAAATCCCCTCCTCAAAAAGCAAGTCATGGAAGCATCTTTTGAAAATGTATTCAGAAGATTAAAACCTCCTGCAATTAACGAAACACAGTTTCTTTTGGTGCAGTTTTACAGTTATAGCAGGGGAATGTTCTCTCAAGTCTAAATATCTGTTTAAAATCATTTTTTACATCACCAGAATACTAAAAACCAAAGGGACACTGTTTAAGTAGAGATGGAAAAAATAGCTAGTTGTGTGTTACCAGAGAAATGCAAAAAATAAGGTCCATAAAGGGGAAGTTAAGAGAACTAGCATAGGTAGAGAAAAAGGTTCTAAATAACCTATGTTGTCCTACAGTCTTTGGAAAGGAATTCGTGAAGGGAGAACTGTTTTCCGTATTCAGTGCCGATACAATAGTAGTCCTAGTCTAGGATTTATTTTTAAGCTTAGTAATTCTGATCTGAACGTGGATATCTGATTTTTCTCATCCCCTCCTTTTTATTTTCCCCCTCTCAGAAATCACTTGGAGGAAATGATGACTTCTTGGAGCGAGACCTCGCCACAGGAATTTGCCACTTTTTCTATGACAGTGCTCCAAGTGGGGCATATGGAACTATGACATACTTAACGAAAGCTGTAGCCACCTATTTACAGGATTTCCTGCCTAGCACAGGCTGCCTGATGCAATAGGCTATGCCTCTTGATAAAAAAAAAAAGTAAAGATTCGGAAGCTCTTTTTCCCCCTCTCCTCTCTCTTCCCTATCCATATCTCTTTCAGATGGTGAACATATATCTTTCACTCCACAGAATTTAAACACCACTCATCATGTGTGAGCACCAGTCTGTAGGGGAGGGCTGAACAATGAAGATGGAATTTGGCCTAATTCTAGAACTATGAGAAACAATTACAATGAGTGAGGCCTATTCTGCCCTAAATGCAATGTGCAATTTAAAGTAAATTATGTAAGAATTATGCACTTATGCCAAGAGGAAAATAATTAGTGTAGAGATGAAAAAATATAAATAGGGAGATGCACCTCTGGCATAAATTCCCAACTACAGAGAGTGTATTTTTTTTTTGTATATTGGAATTAATGAACTCTCTTAAGCATGGCTTCTGTAAGTTGATGTTGTGAATAGTTAAAGCACAGTTTAGTGTTATCCTTCTCTGATTTATTCAGTTTCCAGGTGATACCCAGGCATTATTTTTAATACACATTGAGCCGGATTCTGATCTCACTTACACCAGGGTGATACAGGAGTAACACCAATGAAGTCAAGCATGAGATCAGAATTATGGCTTTCATAAGTTGGTAGCCTCTCTCTGACGACATAGCATCTGCCTTGGGGAAACCTACATCGTTTGGACCAATGCAGCTTTGAAGAAGCTGATCTCTGACTTCCCCTTTTAATGACAGTTTTATGCTTATAATTGTTCTGGCTAGATGAATAAACAGCTGCCTGTAGATCCAAAAGATAGCTTTCCTTCACTCAAGCACTCTTTCTAAATCTTAATATCTTGTCTACTGTAAATGGCCTAGAAGATGAGATACATAAGCATCATCCTTCCAGAATACTATGTGTACTTACTAGCGGAAGAGTTGATGTTGTTTCATGTCCTTTGATTAGACAGATGCTCCTTCATCAAATGTAATAGAACCATTAGTGTTGTTCTCCCTAGTAGAAAAATCTCTCTCTTTAAACGGCACCATTATAATATTTAGTACCCTTTAATGTGTAGGCTCTTGTTTTGTATTTGTTTATATTAAATATACAGAGCCACAGTGCTCCCTCCTGTGGCTTAACCCAGGTGAGCTCAAGGTGGAGGAAGACAATGATTTCCCCTTGTTGACTTCCACTGAGTGGTGAAGCTTGCTCCTGTGGAATGGGCTGAACAAGTATCCACTGGTTCTTAGCTAGAGCCATGTTAGAGAGGTGAAATAGTACTGTCATTTGTTGGTGTAATTACTGGCCAGTGCACAATAAACGGTTGGAGTAGATTCCAAGTGGCAGATTAGTAAAAGGGTAAGTAGAAACTGTACCATCCAATCTCTCATTTTTACTTATTATAAGTGACCTTGAGTGGGATCTTTCCTTAAGCACCAACACCCTGATGAAGAAATGGCCCTAGTGCCGTTAGAACTTTTGAACAGCACTTATCTGAGTCTTTCTACAGGGAAATAGTTTTTCCATCTCATACATTTTAAAATGTTTTCCTAATTCCAAAATGTGTTGACAGAAGGAAAAACAGTATCATCTGCCCAACCCACATGATCTCAATCAAGCTAGGTGGCAGGAGTCAGATTCACCCCCCAAACCTGGGTATATTGTGAGATACTACAGTGCACTGCTGCCACAGCAATGCACATCCAGACAGTATTTTGTGCAGGCTGGAGAGATGAGTGCCCTAGGTCAGAGTTGTCCCTTACAATGTTTTAGGCTTAGAAATTTCCCAAAGAGCAAGAGGATGCACAGCCTTTCTGGATAGACTGTACATGGGGGAAGAGGCAGGTGCATGTGTGCATATTACCAAGGCAAAGACTTGTTAATGGTGTAAGGAGCAGGGATGTGTAGCTCAAATGCATTTGGAAGTCAGTATCTTATATATGCCCATTTGCACTTTTGTTTAGTCTTAGCTCTTAGTTTGTGTACATGTGATGAGAGAATGATTTAGCTCATTTTCTAATTAAAATAAAAAATGTCTCCAGTTTAAACAGGGCAAGCCTTGCATTGAAAAGTAATTTATACTGTGTATGCATGTTCATATGTGAGGGACTTATATAAGCTCTTATTTTATTAGATTCCGTATAAAGCTTTGGTAACATCCCTTTTCAGGTGGAGCTCTTTGATTGATTGAGATGCAAGAAGGTTCTCTCTCAAATCTGTTTTAATGTGCTTTTTTTATTCAGTCTGAGACATTAACAGTTTAAAATTTGTAGAACAAGAGAAGACGGCTGAAATCTGACATTTGTATGCTGCTAAATAGAGGTTTAAAATAGATTAGGGCCCACAGCAAAATACTACCCATTTACAAATTCAAATTTGAGTGTGTATGTAACTTTTTTTTTTTAAAGTTACCATTTATAATATGAACTAGCTTGGTATACATGGTTTAGAAATACTGGTTTTTAATCTGTCTAAAAATGATACTAACACAATCAGTGAAGTGCAGTCATAGGAAAAATACTTTTATGTAATTTGAAAGTCTGGGACAGTTCAGTACAAAAAGGTGAGAGACAGTACAGCGAATTTTGAATTGCAGTGTGACTGGTCCAATCACCCATTTATACTTCTAGGTCGACTCACTCATCTGTTGCCTTTTCCCCTGAACTTCTGTTTAAAGGAATATATTAAAATCTGTACCATTCATTGCTGGAATCATTGTTCCTGAAACAGGGCAAACTTAATTGGGTCATGAAGGTGTCTTGTAGCAACCTCTCTGGAGAGGATTCAGATGTGTTAGGGAGTTTATGAATCAACCATTATTGAGTCTAGAGCAGGGGTCGGCAATGTTCGGCACGCGGCTTGCCAGGGTAATTTACCTGCTGACACGGCAGGTTCGGCCGATCGCGGCCCCCGCTGCCCACGGTTCGCTGTCCCGGGCCAATGGGGGCAGTGGGAAGCCGCAGCCAGCACATCCCTCAGCCTGCGCCACTTCCCGCTGCCCCCATTGGCCCGGGACGGCGAACGGGAGCTGCGATCGGCCGAACCTGCCGCGTAGGCAGGTAAATAAACTAGCCCGGCCCGCCAGGGTGCTTACCCTGGCAAGCCGCGTGCCAAACATTGCTGACCTGTGGTCTAGTGTGTGTTTCCAGCTAGACAAACTCTTTTTCAGTTTATTTAGGGTAAACTCATTACCAAAGACTTAATTTGGTTGTCAGGCATCCCCGAGGAGTGAAAAATGAATGAAATGTCCAACTTCTAATTCTGGGAACTAATTTATGGAAAATAAATAAGACAAGGGTAAACAGACACCTCATGTGTCTTGGAAATGAGGGCATTAATGGAATGAAAATAGAATCAACTGAGACCCACTGTTTTAGTTTGACAGGCAGTGCTGTTGCAAGAGCAGACTGCAGCTGTCACGAAGGAAACACCTACACTGCTTCCTTGAAATATCAGACATGTCTGAAAACAGAAAATTGGGCTGAGATGGTGCAGGAACCAGAATAATAAAATGGTACTAGCATACAGTGGGTACGGTATAGTGGTACTAGGTCCAACTTTTGCATGAAGTAGTATTAGGGTTCAGTCTCCATTCATTGAATCAATACTCTTTTTCTCCCCTCTCCCAATTGTATCAAATACTTAACTGTTTAGCATTGTTAGAATTTTGTTAAGCTTTTACAGTTTAATCATTGGTTCTGACCTGTTGCCTATACTTAGCACTCTTCACTTTCACTGTGTCTAATCAGTCCTCAGACAGCCTTACAAAATAGTGAGGAAAACTTACTAGGCCAGGGACAAAAATCTATTCATATTAGTTATGAGTTACTTGCTCATCAAAAAAAAAAAAAAAGACTTGTTACAGGGAAGTAGAATTTTGGAAAAGTTGTTTACAACATCCTTGAAGGTAAATATTATTCATACTTTACAAATGGGGAAACTGAAATAGAGCAATTAAGTGACTTGTCCAAAGCAACAGCATATGTCAATGCTAAGATAGCCTATCTTTTACCTAAGGATAAGTGATATGCATCATCATGAAGTTTACCTTGGCTATTAGTTACAAAGGAATCCATGACAGAAGTCACTAGGGCCATTCGCTTCTTTACAGCATAAAGGGAGAAAAAAATCAAGGACTGAATATAAACTATCATTTCATTAATGCCCCATTTCCCCCAGCAGGGCCAAGCCTAATTTAGGGCCTCATCCACTGCCCGTTGAAGTCAGTGGAAAGACTTCCATTGACTTTACTGGGCTGCTAGCTAAGCACTCTTGAAAAATCTGGCTATTAACGTACATAGAGAGTTCAATAGAATATTCCCAAGAGGCAGTCTGTATACCTGTTACGGAAACATTTTTGCAGTTTAAGTACAGCAGAAATCTCCATTGGATATTGCCAGCCACATATCTATGGATCACTGAGTGTTAAGCCAATGGTGCTGGGCTTGCCACCAGTATCATACAAAATCGGGGCTAGAGGTAGTGTACTCATCTGCTACTAACAACTTGTTTTACATACTAAGAGAAATTGATGTACTTTTAACAAGTGTAGTAACAAGTGCTCTGAGAGGTTACAGTAATGGATCTCTTAATATGCATCTAGCCTAGTATGCTTTCTTCCCCATTGGCCAATGCCAGGGGCCCCAGTGGGAATGAACAGAACAGGAAATCATCAAGTGATCCATCCCCTGTTGCTCATAATGCACAATATAGATGGGATATGTGTTTTCTGAAGATGTTATTCAGAATGCCCCAGCGGGTCCTCTCAGCAACACCTGCTCAGAGTTGTGTCAGGGGCTTACTTTTAAAAAGTGTCTGCTCTCAAGAGAAGACTCCTCCAGGAAAGATTTTTAAAAATGTATTTTAAAAGTAGATCTTAAATGCAGTTCTCTCTCTCCTAGCACTGGAGGAAGGTGTGGACAGCATGTGACCAATATCATTAATACAGCATACACTGTAGGAGTGTAGGTCAATATTTAGGGCAAAAAAATGCATGCTATCCAGCCATTGTGACTCATAGCCTTGTGTGTGTATATATTATGTCTGTGCTATGATCATCAGTACTTTTTTAAAAATTAGAATGCAGTGCCTCTCTTTGCACCAACTGTATTCATATGAACTGGACTATTTTAAGTGTAAAGTTGGACAATAATGCACCATGATTTACCAGCTGTAAACAGACTTTAGAAATGGTGGCTCAGCAGAGGATGTTACTGCATTTTGGGATTAATTTAAAAAGTTTTAAATGTAGTTATTTTCTTCTGCTCACCAATAAACTCTGCTTTGAGTATCTGAGTTATTCAGTAAAATTAACTCTGGCTAAATGTATTTTTCAAATCTATGGGCTGAAACTTTCTAATTTGTTTTTTACTCTATATGATGATATTTACAAAAATTGTTTTTGGTAGGGTTTCTTTTTCTTTCTTTTCTTGTTATAGAGGACCCCAAAATGCTTTTAAAACTGCACTCAGAAAATCATCCTCCATGCACAGCATGAAAAAATATGGGTCCAGCCCTTCCCACTATCAGATGTAGAGGTTGGGGGGCGGGGGGAGAGACATGGGGCTCCCCTTCCTCTAGACAGCAGGACTTATGGAAGGAGATCCCAGAGCTCAAAGGTGCTGGAATAAGGTTGAAGTGGTTTCCATTATTTACAGCAGGCCCGCCATTATATCCCTCGGCCTACGCTGCTTTCCGCAGCCCCCATTGGCCTGGAGCGGTGAACTGCGGCCAGTGGGAGCCACGATCGGCCCAAACTGCAGCTGGGGCAGATAAACAAACCGGCCTAGTCCGCCAGGGGGCTTACCCTGGCGGGCCGCGTGCCAAAGGTTGCCAATACCTGATATACAGGGTTTACAGTTTGGTTCAATGGCTATCAGCACTCCCCTATACAAATTGTTTCAGCGCTTCTGCCAGAGCTCCTCTCACCTGGAAACTGGCAGCATGAAGGGAAGGGACTTGAGCATTTTTTTCCTCTCATCAGCAGCACCTTTGCTTATCCAGGGAAGGGACTCAGGGCACTATTGCCTATGACTGAGCATGAGGTGATGAGCTCTCCATTCTCCTCCTCCTACCTCAAAATCCTCCTCTTGGGTGGCAGGAAGCTCCCCTGCAGGGCAAGCTTCTCTGGGAAACTGCTAGGAACCCTAAAGGGGGTGAGGGGTATCATGTACCACCTCCAGCCAGCTGCCCGAGAAAACTTTTCTAGAGTGTGCTTCCCTAGTACTATTGTACCTGCTTGTTTTCTCCCACAAGGGGCGATGTGCTTTGCCTCCGCCCCCTAGCCCTGGCCCTTATCACTCCATGTGAAGGTTTTCCTCTGTCTTTTGAGCACAAGCTATTTTTAAGCCAACCCCAACTACCACAGGCAGAGTTTTTAACCACCATAGTGGCAATGTTTAGGGCTAGCACTGATCAGAAAAACCTTGAGGGAACCATTTTCCCATCAAAAAATGCAGTTCTTTTGAAAAGCTTTGTGAAGTTGTGGTAATTCCACCAACATGGCATTTAGGAGAAAATATGAAAAAGTTCCAACAATGACAAAACATTTTGGGAATGAAACATATTGATTTTTTTGTTTTGAAATTACTTTGGACAATTACAAATTGTCAAAAGTCAACATCGAAATAATAAAGCAATTTTCAGAAATTCTCCTACGGTGTATGTGTCTACGCTTTCAAGTTTTGTTCCAATTCGAAATGAAGCCAAATTTCAAAATCCTCCAGGAAATGGAATTGCCTTTACCTAGCTGTCTCCTGGGACTATTTGGGGGGGATGGGTACATGTAAGACCTTCCCCTGCCCCCAACTTGACACTTTTATCCATATTTAGCATCAAACTAACCCAGTTTGAGCATCTGAAATGTACAGAACACCCCCCACCACCACTCCTCCCTTTATTCTTTATCTGCCTTTGAACCTTCATATTCCAGTGATGGGTGCTGCATAACAACAGACTGACATGCCCAAATGCTATGAGTGAAGTGGGAATTCTGATTCCCTTTGATGCAAAACATCCAGTCACTTCAGGAAACCTATTGTTAAGCAGGAGTACTCGTTAAAGTTGTTTACATTTCTGTGTGCTACATACCTGCCATTTGATTATTTTAAATGAAAGCCTGTTGTGACTCCTGATTGACAGCCCATTTTTTCCATAGGCAGGGTCATTTATTAGTGTACTGCAACCTTTCAGACAAATTCCTATTAATTACAGTGTGACAGTTCGATACCACAGAGTTGGGATTTTAGATCCATACCCACATATACTGAAGAGGCATGTACAGCTTCATAGACATATTCCACGGTCTTAAAAACCTTTTGCATGCTATATAGGTGCTGAGGCATGGTAAAAAGAACCTGAGGAACATAGAATTCTAACTTTGGAAAGCAAAGTCATTGACG